ATATAGCTTTTGGTTCTAGCAATGCCAGGGATGTTTGCTATCAAGGATTCTATTTGCTAATGCAATACTTCCAATAAGGGAAACATGGGATAATTTTGATTGATGCTAAAAAGGTATTTAAAATAAATTCGATGACTTCTGATTGTGTACCAAAACACTTAAAAAATAGGAAAAGAAAATGATTTCCTCCTTATTAAAAAGAATCTCAAATCAACAACAAGCAGCATATTTAATGGAAAAATACTAGGGAAATGCCCACATTAAATCTAATCCCATTGAAGATAAAATAAGCTGCCCCATTGTATTATTCAATTGTTCTGAAAGATTTGGAGTCTTTCAGGAATGGAGACATGAAACAGAACTGAGAGATGTAAGTACTGTAGAAAAAGAGACCAAAACATATTTTTGTCCCAGACCACTTAGAGATTAAAACTAAACAAATATTTGAAATTATTAAGAGAATTCAGAAAGGTTTCTCTTTAGAAGATAACTATTCAAAAAGTATAACTTTGTAATATGCCATCACCAATAATTAAGAAAAAGATACAAATGAGAAAGGGCTTTATTCACAATAGCAGCAACAAACATAAATACCCAGGATGCTCTAGTGAGAACATAGGATGATAGGAAGTAAGCTTATCTTGGAACGCTGGCAGAACCCAGCATGCCGTAGGTGCCAGGAGACCACTGCAAACAAAGGCAGCATTTGAACTAGCACAAAGTTTTGGGAGTTCATTGAGGAAAACATGTGTATGTATACCATATATATATATATCCCACACATATATCAATATATACATACTAGAGGCCCCATGCATGAAAATCATGCATGAGTAGAGTCTCTAGGCCTGGCCAGTGATCAGGGCCGATTGGGGCCTTCTGGCCAGCTGCTGACCAGGACCTTCCTTCATTCTGAGCCGCCCCCTGGTGGTCAACACATGTCATAGCAAGTGATCAAACTCACAGTTGGTAGAACTCCTGAAGGGATACTTTGCATATTAGCCTTTTATATATAGATATCCCACATATCCTATACAATAAAAGGCTAATATGCAAATTTTTTTGACTGGGTGACCAGGGGGCGGGGCTGGCTGGCCAACTGCCTGCAACCCCTTCCCCCCAGCTGACCCTACACCTGATAAGCTCTCTCCATCCTGATCTGGGTTGGGGTCAGCAGGCCAATTGCCTGCAGCCTCTGGCCCCACTGGTCCCTCCCCCAACTGATATCCCCCCATTGCGGGTAGGGCAGGCCGGCCAACCATCCACAGCTCCTCCACCAGCTGGCCCAGCTCTGCCCAATCGGCCCCAATTGGGGCAGGTCAGCCGGACCCCACCAGTGCACAAATTTGTGCTTTGGGCTTCTAGTATAATATATATATATATATACATATATATATCCCATACCTCAATGGCAAAAAAAATTTTAATAATCTGACTTAAAAATTAGTAGACAATATGAATAGACATTTTTCCAAAGAAGACATACAGCAGGTACATAAGAAGATGCTCAGCGTCACTTGGGGAAATGCAAATTAAAACCATAAAGAGTGCACCTCACACCTGCTGGAATGGCTATTATAAAAATGACAGAAAATAACAAACGTGGTGAGGCTGTAGAGAAAAAGGAACTCTTGCACACGGTTGGTGGGAATGTAAATGGGGCAGCCACTGTGGAAAATATAGGGAGGTTCCTCAAAAAGTTAAAAATCACACTGTCATGTGATTCAGCATTCCTGCTTCTGGGCACAAAAACAATATTCTAGAACAAGATTTCTCTATTATATTTTTTTCTATTTGAACTGAATTTCTATATGATCTTACACACCATCAATTTAGCTCATATGGAATTATTTACAAAGGAACCCAATGTTAATAGTTTCCTTTTTTGTTTGTTTTATTTCTATTGAGATAGTAAATTTTTAGAATATAATAAAAAATCAAAAATAACCCAAATACCAAATAACAGAGGTATTCAATAATGTTAAGTTCATTTAAATAAAAATTATACAACCATTCAGATTTTTTTTTAAAAAACTGTAATGGCAATGAAAAGTCTCACAACATAACTTCCTATATAATAAAGAGCAAATATGCTAATTAGACCAAACAACAGAGCAACCATCCAGACGACCTTCTGGACAACCATCCGGATGACCTTCTGGATAAAGCCAGGACTGCAAGGGCCAATCCTCTTGCATGAATTTCGTTCGTCAGGCCTCTAGTATATTGATAAAGAACTATATACCCGATATGATATAAATTATATTAAAAATGTTAGCAGGAAAAATTATATTAGACAACAATGGTTATATTAGGGATTGATTGTAATTTTGATTTTAGTCTTAGCTCTTTTATAACTTTTTCAAATTTTCCATAATAAATATGTGGCACTTCATGACTGAAGTTAAAAAGTTTATTTTAAAAGTATGTTCCTAGATTTTTCTTTGAAAATATTTTCCAAACCCGGGAATGATTCATGGAATCTGACTGCATCGTTACAGAATGGCCCACACTAATTGTGCCTTACCACAGCTCCTTTCCCTTTTGGACTCACCTGGGGATGTGGGCCGCTGTCATCAGTTTGTTGATCCTGAGACATCCTTTGACCTATTCGTTTGGAAGCCTTCATGGCAGCTGTTTTCACTGGACCAATTGGATATTGGATGGAGAGCCTGTTGTAAAGGAGAGTTTTACGGGAGGTTGTAATAATTTTTAATATCAGGCATGACATTAAGGAGAGTCTAAGAAAATGTTAAATCATATATTAAATTTGATATCCAAACAATAGCAATAAAATAGCCCAACATTTTTTCTCTGTGCTCTTTCCAATTACTCAGTTGATAGTCAATTACCTAATAATAGGAACGAAAATTCCTCCTCCCTTCCCTCCCCTCCTTTCCCTCCCCAACACACACACACACACACACACACACACACACACACACACACACACACTCTTGACCATCCAGAAATAAGAATGCAAAGACATTCAGGGATGACTAAGGAAATCCGTAGGTCATCTCGTCCAGGTCAGATACTAGGGTCTCTAAGTGCAGCTGTGGGTTTATGATGTCATATCTGAAAGAACATAGAATAGAGCAGACTATTTTAAGGTCAGGAGTGTTCCATTTTATAGAACTTCATTTCCTTTCACTCCTTTATTCAAAAACTATTTAAAACCTCTTACCATCTTGAGTTATTGCAGATTAAAAAAATATATTTTTTTTAAGGAAGCAGAGTACTCCTTGTTCACAGAGACTTCACAACCAATAACAGACAAATAGACAATCACTTTTTTGACATAATGTGATTCTTTCAACAGAATTCAAGGACAATCAGGAAAAGAAGCAATTATTCTTCTATAGCACATTTAATTATTTGTTTAAAGGGGTAGGCAATTTAGGGTAGAAAAACAGGATAGCCCATCACTTCTTTGTCATGCATCTTGTGAGTGACAGGCTCTATTCTTATCCCATCTGAGATCATTTTTATTTTATTTTTTAAAATACATTCTTTGATTTTTTTTTTACAGGGAGGAAGGGAGAGGAATAGAAAGTTAGAATCATCGATGAGAAACAAACATCAAACACCTACACACTCCCTACTGAGTATGTACTCACAACCAAGGTACATGCCCTTGACCGGAATTGAACCTGGCACTCTTGAGTCTGCAGGCCGATGCTCTATCCACTGAGACAAACCAATTAGGGCTAAGATCATTTTTAATACCTTGGGGGTGTCCAACATCATTTCTTTGTACTCTATTAAAGATATACACCCAAATGATATACAAATTTTATAAGAATGTATTGATATCAACCTGCTAGAAAATGTGATACAGACACAGTGAATGCCCTCTAATTGAGAAGGCAATAAATATGTACTTTTTTATTTAAAGAGCTAAAACATATATTTAATTATACCAAATTGTAAAATGACAAAATAACCACAGAAATATGGCCTGGGGTTAAGACAGAATTTTACTGGTGGATGCCTGAGAAAGATTAGAGAATTACAAAAGAAATCAATAAATTAATACCAATTTAAACTGATCTTTTCTTCTTCTCCCAGTAGGTAAAATGGGAGTAAATAATTCTGTTCCTGCCTCCCAAAAGTTTAATGACCATAAGCTCTAGGAAACACCCTCTGTTCTCTTTACCTTCTCAAATTTTAAATTATGAAGAAGGGGTTATTTCAGAAGTTAAGGTCACAGAGACCTTGTACAGGCCACTTTGGCGATGATCAGCTGTGTGATGGTGATCTATACCGGGGGGCTGCGGAGTGCTTTGGGATGACCCCCGGGACCATAATTTGGCATCCTGAATTTTGAGAGTTAAAAACATTCACATTTTTGTCCCAAGATTTTACTTGAGTAAATTCATCTTTTAAAAATGTTATACGTGTATAAAAGTATGGGAACATACGTGTATAGGGATGTTGATAACAGAATTTAGGGAGATAAAATTTGAGAATTACTAACATTTTCAATGATATAACAAATTGCTTGTGAATTGTGGCACTTCTTTATAAGTATAAGTGTCAGGCCATTAAAAACGACATTTTGGAAATTAATGAGATGGGAAAAGCTCTTCACTTAATGCAGGCGAAGAGAAGAATGAAAAACTGTACCTACAGCACAATTCCTTTTTGGAACACTAATGTGTGAAAAGCATTCATCCGTGAGTGATGGAATACTGTCTTTCCTTTCCTTCCCTTTTTTTTAATATTAATTCTGAATTAAGCTTTCAAAGGCAAACCAACTGAAAGTAGGTATATGAAACAAAGCTATTCCAATACTCTGATATTAAAATCTTTATTGGCTGACACCTTCTGTTGAAATAATTCTAAATAATTGGATTGAAGGTATTTGCCTCTTTCTACTTTAAAATGAAAGCTCACTCCCCCATTCCTCCTGCCTTTCTTAGGGTCCTCAGCATTATGGGAGCTGCTGCTCCAGCCTGGGCTCCCTCTCTGCCCAGCTGACGCTCACAGACACTCACCTGGCCTGGGAGCCGTCAGCCAGGGCCTCTGGCTTCCCCAGACTCAGCAGCCGCTGCCTTCTCGTAGCTTCTTTCCTCTGCCAGCACTCTTGCAGCAGGTTGCTCCTGAGGGTCCCCAGGAGGAGTTTGGTGTACTCCTTTGCAGACATCTCCTGGAATGGCCAACGTTACAAAGGAGCTTCAGATCCGTCTCAAAAGGGTCTCCTTTCCTTACCTGGGCAGACGGCTGCAGTGAAGGTCCCTGGAATTACTTCACCTACCTTTATGTCCTCAGAAAAATCATCTTACTTTCTTAATATCCATATTTCTTTATGTTCTCTGTGTCTATAGGTACACAGAGCATACCCCCCAACTTCCACAGTAACTCTTCTCCCTTTGAGCCACCCAGGACTGTGGGATGTTAAAGCTAGAAGGGGGGATGTAAGAGGACTAAGTTCATGGTCGTTAACATTTGGGTTATGGACTCCTTTGAGAATTGGTTGATCACCCATGAGTTTATCTCCAGAAATATGCTCAGACCACCTAAAGTCCACCCATCAACCCCACATTAAGAACCTCTGCCAGAAAGAAAGAAAGAAGGAAGGAAGGAAGGAAGGAAGGAAGGAAGGAAGGAAGGAAGGAAGGAAGGAAGGAAGGAAGGAAGGAAGGAAGGAAGGAAGGAAGGAAGGAAGGAAGGAAGGAAGGAAGGAAGGAAGGAAGAAGGAAAGTCAAAGAAGGAATGCAATGAATTGTTGAAATTTTCAGCATTTAAAATCTTAGGTCTAATAACAAAGTGGCCACACGGTGTCAGTCTAACACCGATGAGACTATTTCTCTAGGCTTTTGCAAACAGATCTCAGGCCCTTGAGCCTGAGGATTTGGGTTGATAAAGTTTAGCAAAGCAATGCCCACTGGGAGTTATTTGGCAAGATGCAGACACTTGATTTTTGTGGACCATGTGAGCTAAAGGGGAAAAGGAGAGAAAACTGTGCTCTGAAAAGCTAGCTAATCAAGACACTTCATTCACTATTGTGGCGTGTGAGGGTGATGTCATCTGTGATGAGAAGAAAGTGTTCTTTCTGGAAAAGTTTAAACACTCTTTGATGAAAATGTACTATCCCATTTCCCTTTCTTCATAGAAAGATCTGAATTCTCTTGCTGATGATTGAAGCTTTCCTTTAAAAGTCTTAGTTTTATCATCTTCCACTAACAACTGAGACAGTTATCTTTCTCTTTCATTTTTCTCTGAGAAAAAGCACTTGACATTTAGGACTCAGGAGAAAGATGTTAAAAAGGAAAACTCCCCAAATGTCCTAGCAGCTAGAACCTTGTTGCAGCACCTTTACCAACCAAAGACTTTTCTTTTTAATCCGCCCCCGTTTCCAATGCCTCGTTCCTCTGCACAGCAGACATTTTCTGGCCCACAGTCTGGGATCGATGGCTTCAGACGGGACTCAGTTTGGCCTTTTCCGGTCCCCAAAAGGTTTTATTTAAATTTACAATGTAAAGAAAACGCATTTATATTGAGAGCTATTTGAGGTTCAACTTGGCCACCTCCTTAGTCATAAATATTTCTGATGAAAGGAGCAGACTCTGGTTTTTCCGGAGGGAAAGTTTCTAAACTGCTGTAGCTGGTACTGACACAATTCAGGAGTAGATTGGGACGATAGGTTAGGTGTTACCTGGACACAGTGCTCAACCACAGGATGAGATGTCTGGTGGGGCTTGCTGTGGAGACCGGACAGGAAACACATCTGGCAGATGTCAAAGTTGAGGCACTTCAGGCAGCGGTACCTGCCAATGTAAATGGAAGTGGGGCTGGCATCACTACTAGTAGGCGAACAAGGAAAATAATATTCAGGCGAACAAGGAAAATGAATAATACCCTGCCCTGGCTGCTTTATCCAGTATTACATAAGGTTGCGGTTGGCTCATTTAGGATGGTATGTGGACCCTAGCCTTGCATTAGTTCCTCTAGGTCAGTGATCGGCAAACACATTAGTCAACAGAGCCAAATATCAACAGTACAAAGATTAAAATTTCATTTAAAAGCCAAATTTAAAAAAATATATATATATTATTGATTTTTTTCAGAGAGGAGGAGAGAGGGATAGAGAGGTAGAAATGTGATGAGAGAGAAACATCGACCAGCTGCCTCTTGCACACCCCCTAATGGGGATGTGCCCCCAACCAATGTACATGCCCTTGACTGGAATCGAACCTGGGACCTTTCAGTCCACAGACCAACGTTCTACCACTGAGCCAAACCGGTTTCGGCTAAAAGCCAATTTTTTTAAACTTAAACTTCTTCTAACGCCACTTCTTCAAAATAGACTGGCCCAGGCCAGGTATTTTGTGGAAGAGCCACCCTCAAGGGGCCAGAAAGCTTCATGTGGCTCACGAGCGCAGTTTGCAGACCACAACTCTAGGTTCTGAAACTGCTTGCAGGTTTGTGAGAAAGAGTGTAATGAAGATAATGAGATTGGCCTGTCGTTGATGCCTTTACCCACAGAGAACCAAGTTTCCCCCCAATCCCATCTCCGCCTTCAATGGCTATTACAGAGCATAAATGGGACACCTCCTGCTAACACATAACACTTGGCTCAGGAACAACCTTGAGTCTTTGTACTTTCTCTAACTTTAGAAGGTCAAGTCTTTGCCCTCTTCCTGCTACCTCCAGATCTGAGAACACTACTCTGAAATGACTTTATTAAGCTCACTGAAATGAAAAGCCTTGAGGCTATGGTTGGGAGTTTACAAGAGCCCAAAACACAGGATTAAGGTCAGGGTTGTAATGCACTGAAGCCATTTCTAATAGACTCAGAAGGTTACAGCTAAAAGAGGCCAATGACATCATTTGACCCATCCCTCCCTGTTTTCCTTACAAAGAACTGAGGCTCAGAGAGGATACAGGCCTTGCCCAGCTCACCCAGTGGGCTCATAATGTGAGAACTGTGCATGGCCTCGAATGTCTAGGAGGAGAGATGGTTCACATAGATGCTCTTCTAAGAACAAGCTGAGCCTCCTGAATAGATAGGAACATAATCCAAAACTTAAAGTGTGGTCCTGCTTGCCTTCTGCCACTGCTAGTTGGTTTTGTTTGTTTGTTTTTGTTTTTGTTTTTAAATACATTTTATTGAGTTTTTACAGGTAGGAAGAGAGAGGGATAGAAAGCTAGAAACATTGATGAGAGAGAAACATCGATCAGCTGCCTCTTATACACCCCCTGCTGGGGGTGTGACCTTTCAGTCGGCAGGTGGACACTCTATCCACTGAGGAGCCAAACTGGTTTTGGCTAATTTTTTTTTAATATTTTTTTTTTTTATTTCAGAGATGAAGGGAGAGGGAGAGAGAGATAGAAACATCAATGATGAGAAGAATCATTGATCGGCTGCCTCCTGCAGCCCAAAACCCAGGCATGTGCCATGATCAGGAATTGATTGAATCATGACCTCCTGGTCTGTAGGTCTATGTTCAATCACTGAGCTATCCCAGCCGGGCTACCATTGCTTGCTTTTGAGTGACTTTAGCAAGTCATTCGAAGTCTTTTATAAAATAGGAATAATAATATCTGCTATATGTTAGACATATGATTTTTGGGGGGAAAAATTTTGTAGAAAGTTGTGTTTGATATAATTACAGTGAATTTTGTACCTGGCCCAGTGCAGGACCTAGAGTAACTGCTTAATCTATACTTGTTTATTGGTTAAATGATTATACTATATACATAACATGGTAAATAATATTCATGCTCCTCCACTATCCTGTATAATTAAAGGCTAATATGCAAATCAACCAAATGGTGGAACAGCTGTTCATTGCGCACTGACCACCAGGAGTCAGACATCCAATGCAGGAGCCACAAGCTGGGTTCACGGTGGGGAGTGGGCCTAAGCCATCAGTTGGACATTCCCCCTAGGGCTCCCGGACTGCTAGAGGGCACAGGTTGGTCTGAGGGACTCCCTCCCCACTCCCCCTCACCTCTCCAAGTGCACGAATTTCATGCACTGGGCCTCCAGTCAAATATAAAAAGAACATCTTTTTCATTGTGATGTGGAGATTTCTTTGGCTTGGCTCACTTGGTTTTCAATAGCCTTGTTCATTTATATGTTTTATTGCTTGAAGTTCAGTTATTTGCAGAATTTTTCATTAGTGGAGTTTCACTGTGTCCTCAGAATTCTTTTCAAACCCAATTTATATTTTCAGCAAAATGAAAACCTGATTTGCATTTTTTAGTGAGCCCAGCAGACCTACTTTCTACCTGTGGGGAGCAGGTTTAAGGTCTGGGGCTCATTAAACCTGGGAGCACGGAGGAGACGGGAAACGGTGAGCAGGAGCCAGGCCCTGCTTCCTGCCCCTTTGACTTGCTTTTAGCGATGGATGTAAGAGTCTAGAAACAGCCTCCTTAGAATGTGCCAACTGGGCCTGCACAGTCTCCTGAGCTGAAAACAATCAAAGCTCAAGAAGAGGGTCTTTTGCTTGTTTTCCGTCCCCTTACCTGCCTCCGGGGTTTCAGGTAGGAAACCTGCTCCGGGAAGGGAACCGTAGCGTATGTGAATTAAACATGGCAGACAGGGAGGATTCAAGCAAGTCTGTTTGTTCGATCTCCCTGTGTGTCCCATTGTTCGTGGGTGGCCAAGCATTTGTTTTCCACGTTTGCTCTTTCTCATCTGCCTTTCTCTCTTTGGTCCAGCATGGCATATAAGCCTCAGCTGTCCAGTGTGTCTTTGGACCTCCTATTCTTATGGAATCCCTATAAAAACATAAGTAATAGATTTGGTCCTTTTGTCCTATTAAACCTGCCTCCTGATGATTAGATTATTAGTCCAGCCAGAAGAACTTGGAACCATAGAAGAACAAGAATTTTTTTTCTGCTCCTGTGGCTCCCTGGTTGTCCCAGGTCTTCAGTCCTTCCACATCTGCAGCCTCTATACCTGTGTTCGCTCATCATAATAATAGCATCCCCGTGCCTGGCTTACACCTGGTTTCATTATCTTCCCCCCCAAGTCTTTAATAATAATTCCAGTTTCCCTTCCCTATTGTTTTATTTATGGCAGCCCTATAACACCCTTCCCCCAAGATGGGATTTTTGGCTGTCATTCATAAAGATCTGTCTTTCCTACCTGCAAACCTAGCTTTCAAATACGCTCCAGTCTAGGCAGAGAGATCTGGAGTGAGCCCAAGGCATGTTCTCCGTTCTCTCCACAGGGGGCAGCATAGCATCATGATTGAAAACAAGGATTCCGGATTCAGACTGCCAGGCTCTGCCACTTGCTAACCCTGTGAACCAGAGCTAGTTGTTCAGCTTCTCTGCCAATCAGGGATAATAATACCACCTTCTACAGAGAGTTATAAATGAAATAATCCACGTAAACCACATTGATTATTTAAATCTAATAGTTTTTTCAACACTTAATACAGGCAAAAATTATTGTTTATATTATGAATGGCTCCGAAGTATTTAAAATGATTTTTTTTTTTAACAAAGGACAAAATATATTTTCCCTTAGAGAAATAAAAATGTGTTTGGTCAGAATACATATTAAGGGAAGCATTCATATTCCATGAATTACAGAAGATAAAATACTTATTATCCACCAGGATCCCTCCTGCAGGAAATTTTGACTCCCCCAAATCAACCGAGTTTCAGATGTGTTAGGAGGAACCACAAGAAAATCTGGAGAGACACAGCCCCGGACTCATTTGGGGAACGACTTGGACCTGACGTTACTGTCCGTGTGTTACGGACGAGCGACTGTACCTCAGCCCCGTGATGGGGAAGTTCCTGCATATGCCACAGCGAGCAGGGTGCGTGGCCATCTCCGTGGCCGACAGTCGGTAGCAGGTGGGGAGCCACAGGAGGATGGGAGGCTCAGACTGTAACCAAGAGAGGAATCTCTCCTCTTTGATCGCTGGGCTCAGCACCTGAAACACAGCAGCACACGTGGATGTGTTTCTAGAAGTGACTTTGGTCTCCAGGATAGATGAGCTGTGCACTCTCATCGTTCCTGGCTCTTTCCGTGAGCGGTGCTGTGAATGTTCATTGCGTGAGAAGCCAAAGGCAAGGCCTACCTCCTCCATCAGGTTGGCTGGCTGCCCTGTGGAGTGATGGTTCTGTAATGTACCTTGGTGCCCCACTCCCAGGGGCATCTGCGTGGCACTCACCCCCTGGAAGCAGCTGCGTGTAGCACTTTCCACCGAGCACAGAGCGCGGCTCTCACCCACGACAGCTGGGATCTGCAAGAGGCAAGGAGCCCCGTGTCAGCCGTTAGAAGTGGAGAAAACTGTGCACACTGATACCAGCATGCCTGCTGGGTGGTGCTCCAGCCATGGAGTCACAAGAATTGAGTGTCGGAGATTGGACGAACTTTCTCAATCCAAGCAAACAAGAAATGTACGGGGTTTGTGCAATGTATGAATAGAGGCAACAGATGAACACGTGGGGAGAAGTGGAGCAGGGAGGAGGAAGGAGAGAAAGAAAAAAGTCTGGCAATCGCGGCAATACAGGGCCAGCTTCCATTGTTTCTTAGGATCCCAGTCAAATTACTTTAACACCTCCTCTCTTTCTTTTTTGCCCTTGTTTACCTATGAATTACGTAAATGATACTGTATTAAAAGTTCAGAGTAGTTTTCTAAAAAAACATTTTCAAACACTCCCATAACATCTCATTTTAACTAATGCCAAGTTCTGGGCTAGGGCACGAATAATTGTTCTTGTTTAAAGCAAGGACTGGTTGAGATTTGTTATTTTGCTCAAGGTTAATCAGAGCAAGGTAGAGCTACGGAACTGAGATCTCGCTCCAAGACTCCTCACTCTGTTGAGGGGTTCTCACCAAGCTTTGTCACACTCCAGCCTTATGTGTATTCCAATGGCTCAGTCTGCACGCCCTTTGTGGTTTCCATCTTTCAATCACTTTCACCATTAGGTGTTTAGCGAAGGGACTAAGAACGCCTTGTGGCTGCCAAGATGGCCAGGGACTTGGATCTGACATTCTCAATATGCGCATTTACATTGACTTGTCACCTCTATTTATGCCTATCTGGTGAGGGGTCCTAATTTTGGGTCTGATGTCTTGGTCAGCACAGGCTGTCAGCAGGCACTGCCTGCAAACTCAGAGGTAATTTCAAAGACCCCCACCCCTGCTGAGTCCATCAACCCGAATAAACATTCTTCTAATCAGGAAAGTGGCACTTAGAACCACTTTGCTGACAATTAGCCAGGCAGAAGTCAACAAACATTTGTGTAATCTTGACAAGACGGCTTGTGCTGCACATTGATAATAACCCATCCCCAGCTGAACACGAGTAACTACTCCCCATGTTCTTTAGCCTTTGTCTGAAAAAAAAAAACCATCACCCAGCCTGTGAATGCTGGTGAACTCACCGGACCACTCGTGTGGACATTGTCCTTGAGCCCTGGGAACGGGGGTTAACCTGATTTGTGAAATAAGGAAAGTGTCTCGGATGGGACTGGCCTGCCAGCTCTGTGATTCTGACACCAATCAAAAGAAAATTCACTTCGGCAATGGGATTTAACTAAGTTTTTGCCTTCAGCATGTGCACGAAGATTTTGTGGGTGAATTGCCCATGTGACGAGTTTCCTGCAGGTGTTCTGTGAAAGACTTGAACGTGACTAGATGACATGCTGGCACAGGCAGAACACCACTCGGAATGATCATTTGAATTCTTGGGGGCGGGATTTGAATCACAGAGTGGGACCTGGAATTTTATGGGACTCCATCCCCGAGTTCTTAATGGAACTCCATGGGCTGGTAATTTGCTATGCAAATTTCCACCTTCCTCGCAGCTTTCTCAGGAGCATGATAATGTGTTGGGGGGGAGACAGCTCTGTGGGAGCTGCCATTTCAGCAGCTCACTGACCTTAGTTGAGGCTGAAACAAGGGCAGATGTTTATGGCCTGGTGGACAGGGTGTTAGCCAGAGGTCAGCAACAGTAGTCAGAAGGCAAGCACAGGATGTGTACAGGAGAAGGAAAATGGCTCTTAGTCCATCTTCTCCCCTCACACCCACCTCCACATGCCAGGCTTACAAGTCTGAGTGTGTAAATGAGCTGACAGACTTTCCCCACCAGCTTGAGTCCTGGGATGTGAGGCTTGTTGAAGCGGTAGCTCCCTGAGGCTTGCCTGGACTTCAGCAGGAAACTGGCAATGAGATCCCTGTGCTGCCACAACCGCCCAAACAGCCCTGAAAGAACTACGCCTGATGCTTGAACCTAATTTATGTGTTCAAAGTTATTACTCCTTTAAGAAATAGGAACATCTTGAACACTGTTTGGAATTTTCAGAATAACTTAAACATTATTACGATCAGTAAGAACATGAAACATTAATATTAAGAGGTATTTTGGGGTAAGTAATTTGGATAGTTGTTCCTAACCATAGTCTCTTTCCTAGAATTCAATAACCTTCCTACATAACTACTTCCCAACCCCATCATGACTATCCCCAGTCCAGAATCCCTGGTCCAGATGGGCAGCAGAATATATCACTCAAAATATACCTCTTTAGCATATGAGTTATTTGAGCTAAAGTCTATTGAGAACCAATCAATGCAGGAAAGGCTCTAAAAATAGGGCACACGTTTTCCTTTTGTAAATAGAATGTGCATTTATAAAGGGAACTTCCATGGGCCAAAGGTATCATGGAAGAGAACTCTTAACAACACTTATTAATGGGGAAGGAGCAAACTAAACCTGAATAACAAACCTTGAACCAGACTTTTCATGGTCACCTTCTCATAACCTGCCTCCCTGACTCAGAAACTCAGAGTCTCTCTTTGTTGTTTAGCTTAAGGCGGTGTGATGCTAAGGTTAGGCTTTTTCCCACAGACAAGGATGGCCAATGGAGAATGTTGGGCATGAGGGTGACATACGCATTTTGAAAGAGTCACTGGCTGTTGTGTGGAGGCAGAGTTGGCGAGAGGAGAGGCTTGAGTTGTGGAAACCATTAAAAAGTGATTGTAGGAGGTCAGACGTATGCTCAGACGGTAGCAGTGGCTGTAGAGTGGAGGAGTTGCATGGAGACTTCTATTAAGGTGGACTTGACACTAAAAATCAGATTCTTTAATAATGTGGCTGTCATCTGGAACAAATTTAAAAATTCTTAAAGATTAGAGATTTACCTGCTGTAGATCTGTTAGTAGGTTCCTCAAAGTCCTTCGGGTCATACGTGCCCCGGAATCATAACCTCCCCTCTTGTTTTCTGCATAGAGCTGAAAAAGAGCTAGACACATAAGGGAGAAAAGATCTCTACATTAAATGCATGCAATGTATCTTTGAAGAGTATGTGCTTTGAATTCTAAACAGTGTATTTGTGGGTATAAAGGGGGGAAAAAATGAAAAGTTCTCTTCTTGATTCTTTGCTTTCTATTTTGAAGGCTTCCCAAGCTAGATAATTTGATAACTACTGAAAACCCAATTCACATTTTAACCCCTTGGTAATTCAGCACATCCATGTTGAAGACCAAGAGGTTGGTAAATAGCAATGCAAGGAGAGTCCCAGCCTTTAGGAATAATAACCACTGGTGTCAATTATCCCCACACAAATGAGTACCCAGGGTAACCATGAATGAATTAGTAGAAAGCACAGATCAACATCTTGAAAAATTCCAAGTCGGGCTGAGTGTATGCCACACAAGAACCATGTGGCTGGGACATAGTGGCAGGTGAGGAGAATAATGTGGTTGAAATTTGGAGGCCATTGAGTTTCAGACACTCAAAAACTCCTGTGGGTCTTACCTCTGTATTTTGTAAGAGGGCTGTCCCCTGAGAGGGCAATCAGAGCAGCAGCTGCAGGTGTAAGCTTGAGAAAGCCAGTTCCTGTGCTGTATGGCAAGAAATCACAGAGACAAGAATGGGAAAGGCAGGGTGATTCTTGGTGAAGTGGCTTATAAAAATGGAACTGTTAATGGATGTTTCTGACATGGTGTTACAAGTTCAAGTCTTCCACTGTCTGCTTTCTGATATCTAGAATTTGACAAGATTAATAATTGAATTAAAATATTTAATCATTCATTCATTCATTCATTCATGTACTCAGCTAATATTTGCTGGGTGTCTCCTCCCTGCTAAGCACAGTGCTAGGCACAGGTGGTCCAGGGCTCCTTCCTGTCTCATAGAGCAAGTAGTTTCGCTTCCTAAGGCTTCACATATCTGGAAACCACACATTAGAGACCAGGGCCAAAGGCAGGCAAAAAAATAGTACATTTTTATATATAAAAACCCACCAATTCCCAGGCCCTCACTTAGAGCCTAATCATCCTTTGCCACTGGCTTTGCAGGTGTCACACATGTATTAAAAGCAGGAAGATTGTTAGAGACAGGCACTGATACCAGAAACGGCAATCAAAGCTTGATGTTTAAGGAGATTGCAAGTCATGAAAAAATAACTTGAGAACAGTTTATTTATTATTTGTGCAATTAAAAAATAAACAATAATCTAGAAAGGAAAGCACTGTAAGAAATTTGTCGGATGGTTACCTGTGCTTGCCTCTGTGAGGTAGGCCTTTGGGTGGTATTTCTTCTTTATTCTTTTCTGCTCTTTCTATGTGCATTATATTCACTATTATTTTTTAGTATGTTTTTATTGATTTTTAGAGAGGGAGCAAGGGAGAGGGATAGAGATAGAAACATTGATGAGAGAGAAACGTCATTGATTGGCTGCATGCTCCCTATTGGGGATGTAGCCCCTAACCTGGCCATGTGCATTGACTGGGAATCTAACAGATGACCCCTTGGTTCCTGTGTCAATACTCAACCACTGAGTCATGCTGGCTGGGCTCACTATGAATTTTTAAAAGTCCATTCTGAAGAATGAAGCTTGCTGCGGAAAAAACAAAAAGTTCTTTTTTTGATTTTCTGTTTTTTGAAGGCTTCCTTTTGAAAACTAGACAATTTGATAACTACTGAAAACACTATTCGAATTTCAACTCTTTGATAATTCAGCATAAACGGAATGAAATGAGACAAAGAATGGTAAGCTTCAGAGCCAGAGAGACATCTAGAGAAACACACATTCCTTCACACACACACACACACACACACACACACACACACACACACCACTGACTCCAAGGCATGCATACTCAAGCCGTTGGCATGGTCTAAATTGGTATAAGAGTGCAATGAACTGAATGTTCATGTCCCTCCCCCAAAATCCATAGGTTTAAATCCTAATCCCCAATGTGATGGAATTTGGAGGCGGGACTTTTAGAGACGATTAGATCACAAGGATGGGTCAGTGCTCTTAAAAACGAGATCTCTGAGCACTCCCTTGACACTTTGCCATATGAGAACACAGGGAGTAGATGGTGCTCTATGAATCAGGGAGCAGACCCTGTCTGGCACCTTGACCTGGACATCCCAGCCTCCAGAACTGTGAGAAATAAATTTAAGCCACCCAGTCTATGGTACCTTGTTGCATTAGCCCAAGCAGATTAAGACAATAGGTTAGCCATCCATTCCTAGGTTATTCAAACTTGGTCCACTTAAGAAACAAAAACAAAATTAATAATTGGTTACAAAGAAATATGCAAGGAAATAAGCTCTAGGGACTCCAAAAACAAAGTGTACATTTTTGCATACATACGTCACAATTGCCACAGCAAAGGGTGTGCATGGTCTCTAGAGCAGAAACCAATTTGTATGAGAGAAAGTAATGTGGATTTTTTCCCCCCCTCTTTGCAGTCCATGGGTCACTTGTGTTGGTAAAGCAGATAAATGTGTCTTCTTCATCTTCCGCCAGAATGAGTAGTACACGCGTGGAAAACAAAGAAGCCATCTTTTACATAAAACCGTAAGCAAACATTAGACAACACCAAATAGTTGATGACCAGTGGCAACCAAATACTGCCCTGAGGTCCGTGTGCCCCCAGCGCCCTCACCTGTCATACATGGCCATGAGGAGGCTCAGGGTGAGTTCCGCGGCCCCGGGGTGCGCGGGGCCCGGCTGCTCCCTGGCTCTCTGGAACAGCTCCTGGAGGGCCTGGAAGAGATGCTGCATGGAGAGCAGGCTCTCTCGTGCTTCCCAGAAACTCGGGCGTAGTAGGATGTGCTGAATCTGGGAACTGTCAATCAAGTCCACTGTAGAAAGCAAATGGAGAGTCGAGTCTGATTTTCTGATGGGAACGAAAGGCAAATGCCACCTGTGTTTAATTAAGACTTTTTTTTTTTTTTTAAGGTAGCCATTTCCTTGAAAGAAAATTAGATAGGACCATTATTTGGATGCCTGTCTCTTGTGCAAATAATTCAGGCATTACTCTTCGGACAGCTGATCGGACTGTGGAAAGTGTGTCTGTTAGTAAAGCACAGTTATAACATTACGTCCTGTGTAACCTCTAGGATGGTACTTTATAAAATGACGTTGGGAGGAGAAAAAGTGACAAACTCGAAAAACAGAATTTCCAAGGAATTTAGAACCCTCCAGGGAAAGGTTGGGGAAAACAATACTGTATTTTTTAAGCTGATTGAGCAAATTAGCTTTTTATGTTCAAATATTGTTCTTCCTTTCTATAGCCTAGCTTTAGAAGGATAAGGTGTGTGTCAAAATGTGATTGGCTTAGTTAAAAAAAAAAAACCTAGTGATATTTATATAAGAGCAGTTGCTGAATTTAAATAATTTTATTGATTGATTAATTGACTGATTTTTGAGAGAAAGAGAGAGAGAGAGAGAGAGAGAGAGAGAGAGAGAGAGAGAAACACAATTTGTTGTACCACTTATTCATGCATTCATTGGGATTGAACCCGAAACCTTGGCATATCTGGTTGATGTTCTAACCAACTGAGCCAGGTTATACTGGGCCAGTAGAGGTTATACTGAGCCAGGGCCGAGCAGTTGTTGAATTTGATATCAGACTCTTTGGGTTCCACCTGCCTCAGTAATATTTATTATATTTTTTATCTTGGTTCCATTAGTATTATTATCTGAGGAAGGCACAAAATAAAACCAAAGTTGCTTATAAAAAATAATGGGTTATTTCCTGTATACTTTTATCACCTCTTAAACATTTTATGAGGCAATGAATATAAGGACGAATGAAATAGGACTAACCCTATGGCTTCTTACAGATGGAGGGTGACAGACAAAATTAATAAACACCCAATTGTGTCATCGGAGAGATGCGGATGTTGGTGGCACCAAGAGCTGCTGGCACTTAAACTGCCTCAGCCTGTGAAATGATAAAACCCTGTGCTTTTCTCTGCTTCATAAATCAATCTCGCAGATAAGAAATCTAGCAAGTATAATAAAATATTTTTATTTGTTCTCTGGTGCTGCTTTTAAGGGGAAAGTCTAAAGAAGCGAGGAGTAGGTTCCAGGATGTGACTTTAATAAAAACCTGGCTGCAGGCTGCCAAACCTTTTATCGTTACTCAATCGCAAAGCCTATCGCCTGGGCCCTGCGAGCTGCACACGGAATGAGAGCTCTGTATTACAGCAGCACAGATAACACCGGTGTCCATTAATCTCACTACCAGATTCATGCAGCGATGCGCCCCAGGTCCCCCATCTGGAACTCCCAGCATGCTTTATCGCTGTATATGGGCGGTTTTGCTTTCAAATTTTCATTTGGGTATCTTTCCTGGGGTAGAACTTTCCAACTACTAATTTTGTGTCTTATTAATATTTCCCATGAATATTTTTTATATGTACTCTTTCTGATGCCAGGGATAATAAGAAGTACAAAAAGGAATGCCCTCAAATTACATTCTTGGTGCCCAGGCAGGAAGGATGGAGGCTTATATAAACATTTGCTGCAAACTTTCTTTAATGGGAGAAATTCTCTAAGAAAATAGCATAACTGAGGATGTATGTTTTTTAGTGTGCCTATTCCGGCTTTCGTTAATCCCTGGAATAACAAATACTAGTTACAAGTGATTTTATTTGTCTAAATCAGAGATTTTTGTTGGTTTCTTTCTTTTTCTTCCTTTTTTTTTTTTTTTTTTTTTTTTTTTTTTTTTTTTTTTTTTTTTTTTTTAGAATCCCTGTTTCAAAGACCCTTATGCAGAAAGGCAGTATGGGAAATAGAGAAATACAGGTGTTCTGGTTGAGGAGATGGTTTCTGAGTTTTCCTGAGTTGCCTATCCTTCCTTTCCCACCTTGCTAACCCTTTCGTGTCCTACATCATACCCATGCACAAACTGTTGTGAAACTTATTAGGCAAAAAGGAAAATACAAAAAAGTTCAACCTTTAGGAAAAATTTCATATATATATATATATATATATATATATATATATATATATATATTTGGAGGCCTGGTGCATGAAATTTGTGCACAGGGTGGGGGATGTCCCTTAGCCCAGCCTGCACCTTCTCCAATCTGGGACTCCACCAGGATTGGATCTAAATGGGCAGTCAAACATCCCTCTCACAATCCAGGACTGCTGGCTCCCAACTGCTCCCCTGCCTGTCTTCCTGATTGCCCCTAACCACTTCTGTCTGCCAGTCTGATTAACCCCTAAACAATCCCATGCCAGCCTGATTGATGACTAACTGCTCCCCTGATAGCATGTTTGCCCCCAACTTCCCTCCTCTGCCGACCCCTAACTGCCCTCCCCTGCAGGGTTGATTGCCCAGAAATGCCTTCCTTTGCAGGCCTGGTTCCTCTCAATTGCCCTCCCCTGCTGGCCATCTCGTGGTAGCCATCTTGTGTCCACATGGGGGCAGCTATCTTTGACCACATAGGGGCAGCCATCTTGTGTGTTGGAGTGATGATCAATCTGCATATTACTCTTTTATTAGATAGGATATTTATATTTATATTTATATTTATATTTATATTTATATTTATCTATAACATAGCTTCTTTTATGTCTGATATAATAATGTCATAAATAAATTCACATAAAGTAATTTTTTTTTAAATGTAATACACAATTTATTAGAAATCAGTAAGTTTAGGTATGGTGAATGCCTATTGCTTTTCACAGCCAACACCCAATTTACTTCATGTTGGAGAATTTTTTTAGGATAAATATTTTTTAGAATTTTTTATTGATTTCAGAAAAGAAGGAAGAGGAAGAGCTAGAAACATCAATGATGAGAGAGAATCATTGATTGGCTGCTTCCTGCATGCCCATACTGGGGATTGAGCACCACAACTTGGCATGTGCCCTGACCAGAATCATACTTTGACCTCCTGTCAATGCTCAACTACTGAGGCATGCTGGCCACGCCAGGATAAATGTTTTTACAACATTTACTCTATTTTGCTTAGATAACAGTATTGGAAAAGAAAACCATGGCATTCAATCAGATCTAAGTTTAACACAAAAGAACAGTTCACAGGGAATTCTTGACATCGTTTTAAAATTTATGGCACAAGGATTATTCACCTGAACCTACTTTTATATGTTCAGAGAGATAAGTACAACTTGAAAATGAAAATCATACAGGGTAGAAGAAATTTAAAAATGTTAAATTTAAATCTACAAGTATAGATTTCTAAACTAACCTATTTTGTAATTTTATTTTGTGTTAATATAGTTATCCTGAAAAGAAAACCAACATTTTTAAAAAATTTTTTGCAGAAACAAAATAGGAAAAAAAAAATCTTCATCCAAAAATCATTTTCTATTTCAGTCAACAAAGCTACCCTTAGGTTGAACACACATAGTGTCACCTCCCCCTCCATCTTCTCTGTTACAAGTGGTAGAAATGCACAGATCCAACTTCTGGAGTCTGACTTCACTCACATGAGTTTTGATTTGCTTTATGAATTTGCATAGTGCATAAGGATCCAATTATTTCCAGTATTTCAGAGTGTTCTACTTACATTGACATGTGGTTTGCACTGATCTTAATTTGAAGGCTGTTCTATAAATGGAATTCTCAATACTATTGAGAGCATCTATAAAGAAAACATGAAATAACATGGATAAATGATCATCTCATTAGATAAATCCCACATCCTGGAAGGCAGTCCTAGGGATCATATAGCCCCACTTTAGTTTGCTCTCTTTCTCATCCAGGAACAAATATTGATGGTCTACACTACAGAATCTTAGGCTGCAGGAGACCCTAGACTCACAGTCAGAGTCCACCAAACTAAGGAATCCACCAAAAGTGAGGATTACCCCACAAATCTATGTTTTTATAGGAGGAAACAACCTTATAAACAAATAGAATAAAGATCTCTTTGTAGCCCAGCTGGTGTGGCTCAGTGGTTGAGAGCTGATCCGTGAACCAGGAGGTCACAGTTTGATTCCCGGTTAAGGCTCAATCCCCAATAAGGGGCATATAGGAGGCCGCTGATCAATGTGTCTTTTTCATTGATGTCTTATCTCTCTCTCCTTTCTTACTCTCTAAAACTCAATAAAAATATATTTTTAAAAACGCAATGTAGAATATAAACTTAATTTTCTTAATATATTCTACTCATATATACACACACACATATATATTTATGCATACATAAAAAGCAATTCAAATGCTATCCATCCAATCATTCATTTAACAAATATTTATTGAGCTCTTGTTATATGGCCCTGGCATGATTCCAGGCCCTTGAAAAAATAGCAGTTAACAGATAAAAATCCCTACTGTGTGGAGCTTAAATCTTAGAGACATTCACCAAATTGGTAGTAGTGGGTATCTCTGGGTGCTTGAATTATTAGTGTTCATAGTTATTTTCTTTCTACTTGGTGCTATTATCTAAATTTTTGATAAAGGCCTATATTATTTTTATAATTAAGAAAGAAATTTAGAGAAAGAATGAGAAGGGAAAGCCAATGAAAGCAGGAGATAACAATAGTAAAAAGGCCAAGGAAGATGAGTTTCAGAAGGTAGAAACAAGCCAATAGTTCAGTATCTGGAAGCCACAAGGACATCAACTAAGGGCTAAATACAGCCTGTTTTTTTATGATTAATCAAGTACAGAGAATGGCTGCGAGGTGTAACGACTGAGATCAGAGCTAGGTTACACAAAGATCTCTGTGTCCAGTCTTTAGTTAGTTAGTTAGTTAGTTAGTTAGTTAGTTAGTTAGTTAGTTTTAAAAAATAAATCTTTATTGTTCAGATTACTACAAATGTTCCTCTTTCCCCTCCCCTCTCCTCCATTGCTCCCCTCCACCAGATTCTGTGTCCAGTCTTAACAGGGAGTATCGTGTGTTTAAGTGAACCCCAAAGCCAAAGACAAAAATACAGCAAGTGAGGGTCATGATGGCATTTCAGACCAGATGCTCTGACCACTTCAGACCAAATATTCAGGATAAAAACCTTAGAGTCTCTGTCTGTCTCACAGGGATGTCTTCTTCCCGGACTTAGCTCACTGTCCATTTCATGCCAAGCTACAGTGACTGCATTTTGGTTCGGGAAAGGATGCCTTGCCCTTGAATGTCATGGAGTCAAGTTCTATGTGTTACACATTTGGGTGTTGAGAACCAGGCACTATGCTCTACCCTGGACTGGGTCAGACCCATCCTGGAGGAGTTGGAGCCCACCGAATGCCTCTGCCTGAACATACATTGATTCGATGATCAATATATGATTATGAGTCAAAGCACCCACTTCAGGTGAATGTGGGCTGTGCCTGAAAATGCCGCCAATACCAGCAACCTTGTTTAAAGAGCTCCACTTTTTTTTTTCTTTTTTGAACAGGTGAATATATATATATATATATATATATATATATATATATATATATATATATAACACACCCTACAATTAGTTCTAAATTTTTTTGTCATTTAATGTGTCCTTATTTTTAAAACATACTTTCTTTCCAGATAGAAGTCCAAACTTCAAAGGAGAAGTGAGAAACATCTCTGCTCTATGTTGGAAGTAAAACAAATTGGGAATAGAGATAATAATAGCCTGGAAATATTTTACAAAAGCATGATACCCAATGTTATTGTTTCCTCCTAGAAATTGGCCCATTTTATGCTCTCAGAGGTATCAAATGAATACAGGGAATCAGTAAACTAGGGGTCTTTCAGGTTCCAGGTGCTGCTCTTGGAGGAAGAGTGACTCTGTTGCTCATCTACCATCTGGCCCATCCCCCTCGGGTCAGGCTCTGTTCTGCAGTGTCATCTGATGAAGTGACGCAGCATAATGTGGCCGGCTGCAATGCAGCGCCCTGTGGGAAAGTATGCACAGCCCAGGGCCATCACCACAGCCCAGCTTCCTCAAGGCTCCCGACCCCCTTGTTGGTGGGAGAAATTCAAAAAAGGAAAAAGTTACTAGACATACTGGGCCCAAAGCTATGAACAAAGTACTTTTAGATGCTTACAGAAATAATGCAAGTTATATATAGTCTGGACTGGGAAATGTGTTTTGCTTTAAATGATTCTTAATTTTGTTTAGCCAAATCAATATGTGTCATTTTCTACAGATACTAACAATATAATAAAATCACTTTCAACTCCCATAATCTATTTTGATGATCCAGAAATAGGTATTTTAGGTCAGTGGTTGTCAAAGTGTGATCCCAGATGAGCAACGTCAGTATCATCAGTATCCTAGATGAGCAATATCAGGAATTTGTGGAAATGAATTCTTGGACCCCACCCTGGACCAACTGGGGCACTAACTCTGTAGGTAAATCCCAGTCTTTTAACCAACCCTGCATGTGATGCTTACACACTAAATTTAAAAAAAAACCACATCTTTAGAATAGAGAATTTGGCTTTGAATACATTATCTACTGCTCTGTGTTAAGCTTATTAATATGAGGGTCTAAATTTGGGAAACCCAAAGCTAATTTTGAATTACTCAACTTCTTGTTTTAGATAAATAACTTGAGTTATTATAGAATTTTATATAGAACAATTAAAATTAACAATCTAGATTTTAACTAGGGGCTGCAACTAGACCCACCAATAAAAATGTCCTAGACCAGTCCTGGGCCTAAGCTGGCATTCAAATGTGTTAAAAGAAAGGGGAATTGGTCCCCCCACATTTGTTTATCAAATATTCACATAACTATAGCTGTGAGATATTTCTCCAGACTTTGGGCCCACATAGTACTGGGAACTTAACCCCTGACATGAACATTTCTACAGTGATATCATTTTAACAGTAAATTATAAGAATAATTTAAAAAATAAGCTACTTGTAATTGAAATATAATTATATTGAAAACAAGTAATTTGTTAAATTATTTGGGTGCTTTGTTGACAATAAACCAAATATTCTTAAATATGAATTTTTGAATCATCTGGAATGGCTAAGGGCATTCCCCCACACCTAAAGATTTGCATAGATGATTGCTTGCTGCCAGACAACTGAGGGCATTTCAATGTACATGTTACTGCCTCTTATTGGCCAACCACCTGAACAGCCAAAGGCAGTTCCCCCAATCTGACAATGGATTCTGTATACTAAACCTTGCCTTTAATGTATAGCTATTTTGACCTAGGACAATTTTTGTTAATAAAAAGCAAGGGGTCCAGAGTGACAGGAGAACTTGGTTTCTTTAGCTCAGTCTTCTCTGGCTCCCCAAAATGCCTTCCAAAATTATGTTTTGTCTCTGGACTCTTGATTAATTTACAGCAGCCCCTTTTCCAGATTCCTGAACCCCTTTCAGATGCTGAGAATCACATACACTGGCATTGTCTAGAAGAAAAAGTCTTTTTTTTAAAAAAATATATTTTTATTGATTTTTTACAGAGAGAAAGAGAGAGGGATAGAGAGTTAGAAACATCGATGAGAGTTATCGATCAGCTGCCTCTTGCACACCCCCTACTGGGGTTGTGCCCGCAACCACGGTACATGCCCTTGCCCGGAATCGAACCCTTTCAGTCCACAGGCCAACACTCTATCCACTGAGCCAAACCGGTCCCAGCAAGAAAAAGTCTTTTAATTCACCCAATAGTCTCATTTTCAGCCAAAAATTTGCCAAATGTCTACTCTGCTGCAACTCAGAAGTCTGAAAATATAACATCTGTGCCTAATTTTTTTTTTTTTACAAACTATGCTCAGAAACTTGACAAAAATGCTCACCTTGATTGTCTGGGTCCATTTCAAGAGTTTCTTGGAAGGGTGGATGGCAAGAAGGTCCTCCAAACTGAAAATGAACCAACATTTTAAGCAGAAGATTTTGCAGTATGAAGAATAGGGGTAGGGAAACAAACAGGCAACTAAAAGTTGTTTCACCTGTGGAACAAGAACTCGAGGTGTTTAGGAAGACTCTATAATCTCCTGGGAGGAAAGAAATAAGGACCACAGTGGTAGAAGCTTCTCATACAGGTCATACTCTGGAACTTAGAGCTATATCTCAGAAACTGAGAACAGCTCCTGAAACCAATACCATGACTACTTAGAACTTTTGAGGCATTATCATTTCAAGAGTAAACTGGATTCTTACCTCAAGAAAATGTAGTTTTACTTGAATTATGAAGGACAAAATTAACAATTCTACATATTAAATTCCTGATAAATGTTACATACATTTAAACGCATTGTCATACAATTCTACATGTAGAATTTAGTCACTATTTCCTTTTAGTAAATTTCATTTTAGTAAATTAGCTAGCTACTGTTACATGTTGTAACTATTCAAACTCAATATATATACACATATATGTGTATGTGTTTGCTTTGAACAAAAAAAATGGGCTATGCTATAAGAAAACATTATATAATTCTTTAAAAAGACATTTCTTAACATGAGCCTTGGAAAACTTTTTTAAAAAGTTACATTATAATCATTATAATCAAATTTAAATAGTACTTTCCCCCTTCTAGTGAATGAATTAAGGACAAATTGTTAGACAGATAAATCGTATTTTACAAAGAGAGAAACTGAAGCAAAAACTGATAACATTTGGTCTTTAAAAATATAACAGCAATAGTGATTACAGATTTGTCAAAACTAGGAAAAAAGTTTCAAATACATTCAAGTAAAATCTGTTTGGAAGATCATATGAAGTGGAATCAGTAAGAACCCTTCTTGGTGCAAAAATGCTCCCCAAGCTCTTCCTGAAGCCCTCAGCAGGTGCAGAAAACTCAGCCTCCTGACCGTCAACATGACTGTGGAGATGCAATCCCCCTGCCTCCACCCCAGGTCCTTACCTTTCTTCACGTCCTTGAAGAATCATTTTAGTCAAACATTCTGCGTAAGTTACTCAGCAGTTTTTGGAAGAAGGAAAAGCTGAGAGATAACAGATTCCCAGATGTGGCATTCCCGACGGCCCAGCAACTGCATGCAAAACAGTGGCATTGAATCTACACTGTTTTTAAGGGCCCCACAGAAGTGCATTCATTAGTAATAAAGATCTTGAATAATTTAATGCCACTCCAGCATCTCTGTTTCCATATTAATTTCAGTAGAAGAGTCAAGGAAAACTTCTGGGTGCTCTGAAGGGCAGCAGTTACGATAATGCTTAGAAACAGTAAGAGGGCTCTCCATCCCAGGTAGCAGGCTCCTTCCTGACCATCTAGGCAAGAGTGACCTAAGACTGGAGTCTATTTTTTTTTACAATATATTTTTATTTATTTCAGAGAGGAAAGGAGAGAGGGAGAGATAGAAATGTTGATGCTGAGAGAGAATCATTGATCGGCTGCCTCTTGCACTCCCCACACTGGAGATTTAGCCCGTAATCCTGACCGGGAATCGAACCATGACCTCTGGGTTCATAGGTTGATGCTCAACCATTGAGCCATGCTGGCTGGGCTGGAATTTAGTTTATTTGATTAATTCTTTCACAAATACGAAGGTACTGTCACACAATATATAAAGGCACCAAATGTAATGCAAGCTTTCAAAAGGATAATAATAATTTGTTACAAAGAGACATTTCCTTATAAGTTTTAACTATAATCTAAAAATGTATTTTTAAGAGGTTTGGATTATGATTAAAAATAAACATGTTTTAATCCTAAGGGAGTTATAAACCAAACACGTGTCACAAATGTATTAGAACTTTGTCAATAATGTCTTTAGGCTGCCAAGGAGGTAGGGAGTCAATTTTAACACGTGTTTCAAAAAACTTAGAACTAAGCACAGGCATAATACTAATGAGTGGTACCCAGAGAGCCAGAATGTCTGTCTTTGGTCCCAGTGGAGGCACTTAAAACAATAATGATAAATGGTGCCCGGCAGGTGTGCTTCAGGGCTTGAGCATCCATCTATGAACCAGGGCACATACCCTGGCTGGGGGCTTGGTCCCTAGTGGGGGTTGTGCAAGCAACTGATCAATTATTCTCTTTCATCATCATCATCTCTCTCTCTCTCTCTCTTTCTCTCTCTCTCTCTCTCTCCTCTCCCTCTCTTTTTCTCTCTATCTCTCTTCCTTCCTCTCTGAAATCAATAAAAATATTTTAAAAAATAATAATGATAAATGGTCACTAATCTATTCTAGAATGTCTGATAATAAAAATCTATTTTGAAAAGTGGGCATAGCCAATTCATTCTTTATTTTTGAAAAGTATTAGAATCACATTATTGGTTTCTTAATAACTGGAAGGTGGGACACTAAAAGATAAAAATAGATTAGTAATGAGTCAAAGAGGTCAAGTGGAGGGGGCAAAACAATTGATTATCTTTATATAAATCTATTGATTTTCTGGGAGCAGGTAAGAGAATGTAGGAAGACAGCAAGGCTATCTCTCATGAAATTATACCTAAGCTAAGCGCTACAGACTCCAAATTGAAATTATATTTAAAATATTTTGTATTTCATTATATCTGCATCAAGATATGTCAAAGGTACTAGCAACAGAGGGAGGTTGGAATGCTTTTCTGAGTGCTGCCCTATGGAGAGGTGAGCAGATTTCTGGCCTTGACCAATTCAGGTGCTCAAGAATCTTCATACTAAAAATGATAAAACAGAGGCCTGGTGCACAAAATTCGTGCAAGAGCATGCCTTCCTTCCCCTGGCTGCTGCACCAGCTTCCCTCTGGCACTGGGGAACTGGACTTCCCTCAGGCCACCCCACGGCAGGCACCTGGGACCTGGGTTTCCCTCAAAACCCCAGCTTCATCCAGAAAATCTTCCAGAAGGACATCTGGAAGGATGTCTGATCTAATTAGCATATTATGTTTTTATTATTATAGATGTTATAATAAAAGTTATGTCAGTGTCTCTCTTTCTCTCTCTCAAAATATCTTACTGTACTATACAGCTTCTCACTTAAAGGAAGCTCCTTCTGGCTTCTCTGTGACCTGTCCACATTGCCAGCATCACTGTCTTGCACTTCGGGCCATCACGAGGTAAGATGAGGGTTCCTTGAATACCAGCTCTGTGACACCTCAACAGTAGATCTGATAAGAAGCTACTAAATGACAAAGAGGGATGTGATGATTGTGTATACAGAGTGGAGACCTTGGACAACTAGATGATTCATGTCCCTGAAGAGACGGAGCAGGATGGTTTGAGTTTTCAGTATGCTACTCAGAACGGCGTGCAATTTAAAATGCATGAATTGCTTTGTTTCTGGAATTTTTCTTTTAATATTTCCAGACCACAGTTGACCACGGGTAACTGAAACGTCAAAAAATGAAGCCATGGATAAAGAGGTGTGTGGGGGTGGGGGAGGGGGGAAAGCCTACTGTTCTTTACTCCTGACAAGATTCTGTGCTGTATATTACTCTGGGACAAACGTGTGGTAGTGGGTATGGTGATTAAGATCAGTTTGCTCTGTTCTCCTAGAGCCTCCGGGTCATCCTACAGTGGTTCTGAGACACATGGTTCATATTCATCCTGGGAAATACAGCTGGTGGGGATGGGCTCCATGCTTCCCAGCGCTCCCAAAGAGGAGAAACTCCACCCACATCTCTCTCTTCCTAGAGAAGCAGCTGGTTATCTGATTAGTCAGGGCTTGACATCCGCTGGGAAGAAAGTCGCTCACTCAGCAGCAGAGCCACTGCCTTGAAAGGTGATGTGTGGTCTCTGCTCCAGCTTTTCCACCGGCTCCTGCTGCTGAGTGACTGGCACTCCTGACTCAAGGGGAGCAGAGCAGGAAGCTCTGCTTGGATTTCTCGGTCTCGGTCACACTTTCCAACCGAACTCCATTTTAGCATGGGGAGATAATGAACAACATACCCTGGTGAACAAAAACAGACCCAGAGACAGGGAAGCATCGATCAGACTGTTAAACCTCAGAGGGAAGGTAGGGGAGGGTGGGGGGGAGGGTAAGAGATCAACCAAAGGGCTTGTTATATAAGCCTAACCAGTGGTCACAGACAACAGGGGCGCTGAGGGCACGTGTGGGGAGGGGTTTGGGATGGGAATGGGGGGAGGGGATGAGGCCAAATATGTGATACCTTAATCAATAAAAAAAATTTTTTTTTTAAAAAGAAGTCCTGAATGTTGAGGAGCAACCGCCACGTGTACAGCTGTGTGTAGAGCACCTGGTGTCTTCCCACCAGTTCTTATTCCTGTGCTCACGCTCCTTTGGTTGAGGTCCCCACAGGGAGAGGCAGGGGCAATAGTAGGATTAGGGTACAAAACCCCAACCAAAGTCTTTACACAGACAGACCTTAGGGTTTCCTCACAATAACAGCAAAGGAAGTGCTGGCTTTGAAAACAAGCGAATGTTAGTCATGGTTTGGAATCACGATAATCAGAAGCAGCAGCTGATATTTTCACTGAAGTTTCAGAAAGTAAGGTGTATCTTAAGACCGATTTAAAACGGCAGAGAAAGCACAGATATCAGCAGTTTTTACAGGACTCCTGGGCTTTCAAAATGTCCTCCTTGGCATCTGTGAAGGGTTTTATTGGCTTAAAAAAAAAAATCCACGGGCATATTGGTTTGACTGCTACTGCTTTAATAAAAGACTGTAACTTTTACGTAAACCACGCCGTGTAAGTATAATGTAAGAATATTATCCTTTTCTTTCAAAATTGAGGCCACATCTAGTATCACAAAACGGAAACTTATTCAATCTAAGCTAAAGTCAGACTATGATTTATTGTAAAGATAATTAAACCAAGGAAACCCAGTGAACACCAGGAGTTATGGGGGTGGTGGCCAGCTCTGCAGGGTCATGGGCAGAACGTAGTGGTCTTCTCTCATTCACCACCATTACCATCACTCACACACCAACTTACTCATCCATTTTCCTCAGGCCCTTTTTCTTTTCTCTAAGAGTAAGAGGGAATCTGATTGGTTCTCCTTGAAGAAGGTGTGTCTATGCTGGCCCAATCAATTGAGGCCAACACGATAAGAAAATCTGAGCAAACATGGCCCCCCCAGGCCCATATTTTAGGTATCATCTGCAGGAGGAAGCAGGTTCTCTCAGAAGGATGTATAGGCAGGGGCACACTGAGTGACATTATTTTATTGTAGTTCAAAAAATAACAATTGATACCAAAGAATTTATGAGAAATTGATAATAACTATATGAGTGGATACACAGAATAATTGAACTCTGATGTGTGTGTGTGTGTGTGTGTGTGTGTGTGTGCGCTGTCACTGTTATTTAATTGTCTGGCATAATGTTATCTAAGACTGAAGTAAATCTATTATTTTTCCCTAAATACCGATATCATGTGTCTTCTTATATTTATTACAATACCAGATACTTTTAGAGTTAGTCTAATTTGCTCTGTTACATATCCAAAGATGACCCTTCAAATTCTGTAAAAAGAAAAAAAAGGAAAAGATGTAACAACTTAAAAAATACATTAATAACATTTGTTTTTATTAGCTTTTCTCTTGTTTCCCTTCCCTTCTGTTTTCTGGATTTCTGTATTCAGTTTGATTCAACAGCTGAAGGAGGTGTGTATGAGGGGGTACCTATGAGGGAAATTGAACTGTAGGCCATCATTAGATATCTATATATATAAAAGACTAAGTGACCATTCGAACATTTGACCATTTGACCAGTAGCTATGATGTGCACTGACTACCAGAGGCAGACACTCAATGCACAGGCATGGAAACATGGAACAGACTGGTGAATCTCAGAGGAAAGGGGAAAGGGGGAAGGGCTGGAAGAGATTAACCAAATATCTTATATGCATAGTACAGGCCCAGTGCATGATATTCATGCACTGGGGCGGGGGGAGAGCCCAGCTTGTGCCCTCTCACGGTACAGGACCCCTCGGCAGACATCCCCTGAGGGATCCTTGGTGCTGTTTCGGAGGCAGGAGAGGCTCCTGCCATCACCATTGCACTCACCAGCCACGAGCCTGGCTTTTATATATGACTAGAGGCCTGGTGCACAGATCTGTACACTGGTGGGGTCCCTTGGCCAGGCCTGTGGGGGTCAGGCTGAAACCGGCTCGATGCACAGATTTGTGCATTGGTGGGGTCCCTTGGCCTTGCCTGCACCCTCTCACAATCCAGGACCCTTCAGTGGGTGTCAGAGAGCCAGTTTTGGCCCGATTCCTGCAGGCCAGGCTGAGGGACCCCACCAGTGCACAAATCCGTGCACTGGGCCTCTAGTTTTCATATAAGAAAGTTAAATCCTGGCCTCTTTGCTGACTTCAACCTATTTCTATGTAGGGTCTCTCTTGGCTCCTTTGCTTGTCAGTTTGAATTTTGTTTGCAGCTATACTGTCAGTTCCATTTCCTCTCTTGGTCCTGCTTCTCCACTATTCTAATTTCCCACAGTTAGCCCCACTCTTATCCCTATTATACTCTTTATTCTCAGAATGGAAGGTGCAAAAGATCTGTTCATTTTATCGGATATTCAAGTAAAAGTCTGGAAGCATGAGTGAATATCCTGGTTAGTCAATCACAAAGAAATTGACACCAACTTGGTTTTCATAAAGTAGCAGGCCAGTTCAGTTATATACTTTGAAAATCTGGACTCACAGATGCTTCTGGGTCCCTTTCTTTTCCATTATGAGGGAAGAATTTGGTTGTCAGGGTCATGATTCTGGCTGTAGAAGCAGGAAGCCAGGTTCTAGAATTCAGCAAAGCTGATCCCTGAGAATATGTGATGGGGAGGGTTGGAAAAGAACCACATCACAGGGACATGATCTTTTCTACCCAGTTCCATTTCTAGAATAAGAAGAGACTAGTGAATACTTGGTCTACCACCTACCATTTGTGAGATCCACTTGATTGAATGAGCCTTCCGAGCTGATTTTAGGATTCAGATCTAAATAATCCATTGTGGTACATAGAGAATTGAAAGAACAACGTTTTGGTATTTAAAGCACATTGATTTTTTTAAAAAAATTTTTTTTGCAGTTATTCTCATTTTATCCTCTCTTGTTCCTTCTAGCTCAGTTCCTCCAGATGCCTTGATCTCTTTGGAGGGAGTGAGCTGCTAGGTCACTTTAAAAATATATATATTTTATTGATTTTTTACAGAGAGGAAGTGAGAGGGATAGAGAGTTAGAAACGTCAATGAGAGAGAAACATCAATCAGCTGCCTCCTGCACACTCCTCACAAGGGCAACCAACGTACATGCCCTTGACCAGAATCGTACCTGGGACCGTTCAGTCTGCAGGCTGATGCTCTATCCACTGAGCCAAACCAGTTAGGGCATGCTACATCACTTTTATGTGGAGTTTCAACCCATGACAGTAGCTTCTCTATGGCCTGTGGACAATATGAGCAAGCAGGTGTCCAACACAGCAGCTCAGCACAATGCCTTTCGCCAAGCTCCCTCTGTAGCTCTGGTCCTCACAGCACACACCCCTGGGCAATGGCTCAGTGTTCACCAGCTCCCTCTCCTACAGAATTTCATGTACAGAAGTGGCAAAAACTGAGTCTAGGTTATTATTATATTTTGGAGATATGATTTGTATAGGCAGATTTAGCAAATATATAATCTTCTACATAATTTTAACTACATAAATTTAACATGTATTTTGTAAATATAAATATTTACATAAACATAAAGATATTTATATATTTTAAATATATATATATATATACTTTGCATATGTATATGTGTATACACACACACACACACACACACACTTATACAGAGAGAGAAAGAGAGAGAGAGAGCCAGAGAGAAGGGGAGAGAAAGATTCCTAGATTTTCTTAGATTTTCCTGGATCTGTGGATGAGCGTCAACCTATGAACCAGGATGTCAGGGTTCAATTCCCCATCAGGCATGTGCTGGGGTTGTGGGCTCGAACCCCAGTGTGGGGCCTTCAGGAGGCAGCTGACTGGTGATTCTCTCTCATCATTGATGTTTCAATCTCTCTCTCCCTCTCCCTTCCTCTCTGAAATCAATAAAAAAATATTTTTTTAAAAGAGAGACCTCTCCATCTCTTCCTCTCACACACCTTCTGAGGAGGACCCTGACTTGCCATATCGGCGATTTTGGGCTTTGTAATGAAGAACAAAGAAGAAAAAGGAAAGATGAGAAGAGTGAACACCAGGAGCTGAAGCTGAGGCAAGAGCATTGGGGGAGAGTTTGAGGTAAGTATGACCTGGAAGCAGCTTCAGTATTTTTTTTTAATTGTTGACATTTTTTATTCCTCCTTCAAAGTGTTTTCTAAGTATAAAGAGAGAAATGGCATTATTTACAAATGACTTCGGTTGCTGGATTATGCTCTCTGACTCTCAAAATGAGTCAACAAGAGCCTGGACTCAGCTCTACAGAGATTGCTTCTAACTAGATTGACTTACCATCTGGCATAACTTGATCTTTCTCTTCCTCATGGGTTAGACCAGGATTGTCAATTTTATGTTCTGAAACCAAAGCTAGATAAAACATGTTGGGTTTAGAACGTAACTAACAACTCGTGCGGTATTTTAACACAGTGTTTTCAAACTTTGTGCATTTTACATTATAGTCCCGTACATGCACTTATGCACATATAATGAAATGAAAAGTTACAATATTTACTCTTTTCCAAACTTCTTACCTTTTTATCATCTTTTATACTCATCTTTTTTCTTTTTATTTAATTCTAGTTCATTGGGAAAAAAATTCTGGTCTCCTTATCCTTTTATCATCAATTTTATTCTAGTTCAAGAAAAAATGCTAGTTATTAAATTGATTCTCAGAGCCCACTAAATATTTTCACAACCCACCTAATCCACAATATGGGAAGTATAATGTTATATTTGATTCTAATGCCCCTTCAACAAATAGCCCCCAAACAAACCTGAAATTAACCCCGCTATCTCTACTTTATCACCAGTCAAGTTCTTCAGTCCGTATAACATTATCATTTATTAGAGGGTCTAAGAACCTAACATCCTCTAGAAAGCCCATGATCAAGCAGGTTCATTCGTATGCTTTGTCCCACCTGTCAATTGTATGCTTTGTCCCACGACCCACAAACCATATTGCTGAGCTCCCAGCCAACTATTCAACCAAATAGCAGATGCTTCTTACCTACTTTCCCCAACTCTACTCCCTCTTTCTGGATTCTCTGCTCTTGCTCAGCTAACCTATGCATTGCCTTCTGAATACAGTTTTATACTATCTCAGGTTTATACTTCATGCCTTGATCACTGAAATGTCTCCTTTGCCCATATTTTCTCCTCTGGAGGGAATACTTTTCATATCTTCTTTCCTAATCAATCCTCTACTTGTACACCTCGTTTGTACTAAATTACATGAGTAATTCCTACTCATTCTTCTAGATTCAGAGCTCCCAATATGTCTCTTCCTATAAGCCTTTCATATCACTCCCATTCTATGTCAGGAGACCCACTTTGGGGGCCCATTATACACTGAGCCTCTATCATAACACTTCTCAGTAAGGTAGTTTTGCTATTTCCCATGCTAGATGGTGACCACTTTAAGGTCAAGAACAATGTTTGATATATGTTTATGATCCTAGCGCCTAGCATAGTTTCTGTGTGTGTGTGTGTATGTGTGTGTGTGTGTGTGTGTGTGTGTATGTGAGTGTGTGTTCACATGAAACATTCCTTTTCAACAACATTTTACAACATTTTAAGGGTACAGTAAGCTAACTACACACACATTGTTGTATAGTAGATCACTAGAATTTTTTCATCTGTGTAAATGAACTACACAGTTTCTGAATAAGTGCCTATTTGACTAACTTTAGCTACCTTAGATACAACTAGATTTCAAGATATTATTAAATTTTCTCCATACAGTACAAGAATCTTTCCTCTCCTTGTAAATTCCTAGATTACTTTACAGATATATATATATATATATATATATATATATATATATATATATATATATATATTTCTTTCCTTTTGACCTGTCTTGACCTTAGTTTTATTGAGCTTTTTTTTTTATTGAACTTTTTTAATTCATTGTGTATCTTGGCATTTACCTTTTCATATTCTCATGGCCCCTTTCCCCCAGATGTGTTTGTGTAGCCATATTGTGTTCCTCATTGTGTTCCTCGGTGTCTTTCACAGTGACTGGCACATAGAAGGTGCTCAATGAATATCTGGTAATTTCCTTCAAAGGTTTTAACAGATTTTAAATATGATCTTATACTTGAGTATAGGATGAGGGTGATGTAGGACTCAACTTCCATGATATAGCAAACAGGTAATCAAATTCCTTTGAAATGTAGTCTTGGATGAAAAGGGCATTATTTTTTCTAATTGATATACCTACCATCTAGATATTTCTGATTTTCCTTGTTGTCATCTGTGGTAGTTAAGACAGCCCTTTCACGATCTGAAGAGTCAGAAAATTAAGTATTAACTGAAAAGATTAAACAATTATCATATACAAATCATCTCAATGATGTGTTAATAAGCAGAAATGCCGGAACTGGCAAAGTTCTGATTATTTTCAATGCCTTGATCTTGGAATCCCTGGAACCGTGTTTTGGGCAAGGTCCAATGGTGACAGACTCAAGATCAATCAACTCTATATACACATTGGCCTTTGTTAATAAAACATTCAGCATAATATCAGGTCATTTACATTCAGAAAATGTTTTGGGGAATTTAGGACTATCAGTCAATGGAGTCAAATTTAGAATGACTGCTCTATAGGCATTATCGTGAAAGAAATTTATAGTTTTAGAGGTCTGTCAAATGCAGGGAAACAAACTGCTCCTCAGACTTTTGTGCCTGCACCCTCCACCTTTGTGCTGCCTCTGAGTTTCATTTGGTTTGGCCACTCCTGGAGACTTGAATTCCCAAAACCCACCCTGTGCCATAACCTCTTTTCCTTGCAGTCTCTCTGTCTTTCCTCTCACTTCCGGTACTTTGACCTTTAACCTTACTAAACTCTCTCTCCTCTGGATGATCTGAACCAAAGGCAGTCCTGTTCCCAGCCAGGGTTTTTATTTATTTATTTATTTATTTATTTATTTATTTATTTATATATTTTTTTGTTTTTTTGTTTTTACCAGTTAATCTATTCTGAGAGATAGCAACTGTTTCAATTGGTTGAAATCTATACCATACTTGTTAAATATTTTCAATACCACCCTTGCCTGCAGCTTTTAATTTTATTTATATTTATTATTCCCTTCTTTATCTAATCTAGACCGCTATAGCTCATCACGTCATCACTTTCTTGCAATTATTCTCAACTTCTTTGATTCACCTCCTTCCTTCCCAAATGGTAAGTAAAATAACAAAAGTACTCATTTTCCATTCTCATGCTCAAAGCCAATGACCAAATTACCTAAGCATCCATTTAGGATGCCAGAAAACAAGAGAAATATGAGGGGGGAAAAACAGAAAAATAAAAACTTTGGGGGAAAAAAACTTGCTATTCCAAATAAAGTCATCAGGGAAATATTTAGAATTTTGTTAGAATGCAGTATAGTATTATTTTTATTCTAATTGCATTATTCTAATTGCAGGGGTGGTAGTACACTATAATATTTCAGGACTTACTATAATTATGCATCTAGGTTCCCACTCCAGCTAGCTGAGCACCTTTTTGAATCACACAACTATACTTTGAGAGAATAAATTTGTGTTTTAAGCCAATAATTTATTGTAATTTGCTATGGTGGCCTGAGGAAACTAATATATAGGGTATAGACATAAATTATATGACCACATTGTGTTTAAGGTGTGATTTCTTTAGCATTCTTATGAGATGTTTTATTTCAAAGAACACAGTAAACATGGCAATTTATTTTGTCAATACTTGCGTTTAAAGGTGATAATATAAGGGTTTTATTTACCTATATTAAATAGCGATTCAGTTTTAACAAATATTTTAACACTATTTTATTGTCCCAATAGGACATCATGTTTAAAAGGTTACCTGGATGATATGGCTGAAAATGTAACAAATCTCCAAGTGCAACAAGTTTCTCCTGTTGAAAATTTTTACAATGAGAGAATTAAATGACCACAATTATTAATCATTCTTTAATAGAAAAAACACTTTGATTCTTGATTTTTAAAATAAGCTACAAATATTTTTAACATACCAGAAATTATGTAACCAAATGAATAGTGGCGGTCTGCTGATTTTTTTTTTTTTTTCAAACTTGTGTTGGTTCCTTATTGATTTCGAAATAAGATTCAAATTGAACCCAAAGAAAACAAATGTATGCCTTGGCCTCAGAGCATCAGTTGAAGGTCATTATCATAGTCAGTTGCCTTGGATCTATTCTGACCTTACCTGAATTAGATCGCTTGCCATTCTGGTCATCATTTGTTCACCTATTTCAGTATCTTTGAGATCTGTGAGAACCACCCAAGTTCTATTCTCAAATTTCACAGGCATAGAAAAGACGATCCCTTCAGGAATGCCAAACTGGCCTGCGGTGGGCAAAGGCAAAGCAAAGCAAAGCAAAAACACTCAGAAAAATAAGTCTTGCCTAGGAAGTATTGTGGAGCGGACATAATACGTGGCTTAAATGGTAACAGTGGAACGAAATCTCTGGTAATTCCTCCCCGGGCGGAGGTGAAACACTCTAGAAGTATTGATTGGGCACCTGTCCAGGTTCTGGCCATCCCCCCTTCAGTGTCTTTCTTGGAAGGAAACACCACTCTTCCCTCTTCTTTATCCCTTTGTGCCTGGCTTAGACCCTCTGCCTCTGCCTGGAGGGCTGATGCAGCCTTTTTTCTCCACCTGGTCTGGGTTCTTTTGTCTACTTTCCAAGGCTTTACCTTGTGCCCCTGGGTAGCCCAGGAACCCCAGGCTTTGTCTAGTCTGGCCTTCTGCTCTTTCTGGGGACTATGGCAGGCTTATAGTTCAGGCATGAGGACTAGGAAGGGAACAAGAGGGAGCCGGAATGTTGCTGATTTCCTCTGAGATCCTAGTTCCCAGTCTGGATGCGCTCCAGACAAAAAGAATGACAATACTTGTTACTAAGTGAGCAACATTCAGATAAAATTGCCCTGCGCCTTACTCAAATCAGAAAATTATGCTTGCCAATCTAGTCATCAAAAATATTGCTACAATGGCAAAATAAATGCAGATAAGAAACTAGGGTAAAAAAACAAACAAAAACAAAAAACAAAAAACTTCCTCAGCGGGTTCCCAGGTCCTCTGTTCACGGTCTACTTTCTATAATGAGACAGCTTTTGGGGTGCGCAACATACGAGGTTTACCTATATCGTTCTAGGGAGACAATGACTACAAGCTCCTTTCCCCCAATATCACATTGTTTATTGATGAGTTCCTATAGCAATTAATTAAAGTTTCTACAAATAAAGGTAAGATTTAAAGTATCTATTTCACTAAAAAGGTACTATGCTGATTTGAATTCACACAAAGGGGATGTTCATACATCGTAACTGAAATTGAACAAGATTCACTGAGTGTCTACCCATGAAGGAGACCCCAGGCAGAGAGCCCTGTCTGTAGGGGGTACACACTCTAATGGAGGGAACATATGAATCTAACCACACTACGGATAAAGGCAGGAGGTAATATGCTTTCTGATGGAGGAACACAATGCCAGGTGAACACAAAAGACATACAGAGATTAATTTGACTTGGGGGCTTTTGGGAAAATTTCCTTGAACTGCACAGTAGTAACTGGAAGAATGGGGAGGTTGGTGGTTCCACTAATAACACTCAAGAAATATAAGGAACACAATTATGAAATTGTGGAAACCCAGACAGCTTCTAGATCATGTTAATGGATAATATGTGGGGACACAGACATAGGAGTATGAGGTATGCATGGAGGTTTTTTTTCAATATTGCAAGATATGGAAGACCCAGGCTTACCTTCACTCAGTACTCCTAAAGACACTATCTCCCCATACGGCGAGTCATGGTACCAGTATTTCAATGTAGTGGCTATACTGTGTGCAGCTAACATGGCTCCAAATTGTTTTCCTGTGGCGGTCAACTCTTTAAGAGTTGTCACAAATTCTCTGTTTAGCCACTCACTATATGAAAAGAAAGAAACAATTTTTCAATGAAGGGAGAAGTGGAAATTAAAAAAAAATATTGCTCCCAGGGTCAATCATCATCATCATCATCATCATCATCATCATCATCTCCACAAAAGAGAGATACAACTTCCTTTGTCCTTTCTTTAAGCTTCTTCAATCCCATAAAAAGTTGATTGAAAAATAATGAGAATCCCAGTTTCAAACTAAAGACATGATAATATAAAAATGGAACACAGAAAAGAGGTCAAAGGCTGCAAGAACAGTTACTTTCATGATGAAGAATTTATCCTATGTATATACTACCTTGGAACCGGTGGTATTTATTTTAAATAAAGTAACATCATAAAATGTTGAATTATTTACACTGAGAACTAGAGAGATAACTTTGTCTTTATAATCTGAGGTTTCAAGGCGGGGAATAGTCCAGCTGGAGAGCAAGCACTAAATGTCTGCCCCTGATAAGCCATCATGCTGCAATTCCATTAGACACTGCCCCTTCCCAGGCAACAAATGCAGAGGGACCAGCTCTGAGAGGGGAAACTGGAGACATATGATTTCTAGGGTCTGAGGAAGGGAAGGAAGGGGAAGGAGGGCCATTGGAAAGGAAAGTGCCTCAAAGAGATGAAAAATGCTTCAAAGGTTCTCCTCCCCCTTTCTCTCCTATCCCTGAGCACATGGTAGGGTTGACTGTGGTGGGCACAGTCCTAAGGGCTTTGCCAGTACTATGAACCCTTGTAATCTTCCCAATGACCCTGCAAGTCCCCTACTGTATGACCACTTCCACTTTGTAGATGAAAACTCTGAGGAAAACAGAAGTGAAGTAACTTCTCTAAAGTCATACAGCTAGCTAATCATCGGCTGCATGAGAATGTCAGCTCAGGTGTGCTGGCTCTAGGGTCTGGACTCCTTACCACTTCTGCATGCTGTTTCTCCTGGGGCAGCATACCCAGCGGGGCCTGGGTGTTCTCATCTTAATCCCTTGCTCTTGAAACTGGTCGACTAATTTCAACCTGGATACATATCTCTGCCTTTATAGTAAACTAGAGGCCAGGTGCCCAAAATTTGTGCATGAGGGTGGGTGGGAAGGTGTCCCTCAGCCCAGCCTGCAACCTCTCCAATATGGAACCCCTCGAAGGATGTCCAACTGCCCGTTTAGGCCCAATCCAGGTACGGGCCTAAATGGGCAGTTGGACATCCCTCTCACAATCCAGGACTGCTGGCTCCCAACTGCTCCCCTGCCTGCCTTCCTGATTGCCCCAACTGCTTCTGCCTGCCAGCCTGATCACCCTAACCACTCCCATGCTAGCCTGATTGATGTCTAACTGCTCCCCTGCCAGCCTGTTTGCCCCCAACTTCCCTCCTCTGCCAGCCTGGTCACCCCTAACTGCCCTCCCCTGAGGGCTTGATTACACCTAACTGCCCTCCCTTGCAGGGCTGGTCCCTCCCAACTGTCCTCCCCTGCTGGCCATCTTATGGTGGCTATCTTGTGTCCACATGGGGGCAGGATCTTTGACCACATGGGGACAGCCATATTGTGTGTTGGAGTGATGGTCAATCTGCATATTACTCTTTTATTAGATAGGATGAGATTCACATTACATATGTCTGCTTTAGAGATTACTTTAATGGACTATGTGAGCCACTTTAAGGATAATCTGAAATGTAACAATTTCAAAACCAAATAAAGTGGAGGTGGGAATTGACTAGTTGAAATCTTATGGAACTTTCTATGTTTCTTCAATAGAGAGCATAAACAAAGATGAGTATGAACAATGTCAAGTTATTTTTGTCCAAAGATTTCCAAGATGGTTTAAAAGATCACAACAACTATTAAACATTTATTCAACATGGTTAGGATACTTCACTTAAAAAATACAGTACCTATCAAAAACCAAGCTTAAAATAGGGCGAGAAAAGTGAGGAGGTCCCCAAATAGCACTCTCATATTTGTAAATCTTGGCTTTTCTCAGATCAACATAGCAATTTCCACTAATATTACCCCAAATTATCACATCTTTGATGTCTGTGAAGAAAAGAAACAAAAGTTAACCTAATAATGAACATCAGTCTACAAAATTGCCTGATGCCTATTTTTCCTTTTGCGCTTGTTTGAGGATTAGTCCTTTTGCTATAAAGTAGATCTAAGTTTATGCTGCCTAAAACTGTGCAAATCATGTGGCTCATTCATCTCCTTAATTAGGGTTTGGAGAGTCTTCCTGATGCTCTATAAATGGTATGGGCATACAAATGAAATCCAGGAATCCTAGCATGCCCCCTGAAAATACTGCTGCTGAAAACTATACCGCTGGCCTTGGTCCTGACTTCGTTAACCTGCTTACCTTAGAGAACTGTTTGAAAATTATTATTACTATTTTTTTTAATATTGATGACGTTTTTAACTATGATCACGGGGGTGGGAGGAAATGGAATATTGGTTTCAAAGTATTACTTGCAAAGTATACACCTTATCATTTAATGATGGACAAAGTCAGGTGGTCACAAAAGCCAGTTTAAAAAAAAAAAGTTTGCTGACACCAGTTTGGCTCAGTGGAAAGAGCGTCGGCCTGTGGACTGAAGGGTCCCAGGTTCGATTCTGGTCAAGGGCATGTACCTGGGTTGCGGGCATATCCCCCAGTGCAGGATGTGCAGGAGGCAGCTGAACGGTGTTTCTAGCTCTCCATCACTCTCCCTTCCTCTCGGTAAAAAAAAAAAAAAAAAAAAAAAAAAAAAAAAAAAAATTAAATCAATAAAATATATTTAAAAGAAAAAAAAAGTTTGCACAGTAGTCAAATCACACACTAAGAAATTCTTTGTATGGGGTTCGCACTTTCTACCCCAGACTCCAGAAGGCTTCTTAGAGGGTACAGGGTTCCTCCCAGCTGCTCTGAAACCGTGCCGCTTGGAAACACAAGCACAGAGTCAGGGGTTCACTCACATGAGGGGGATGTTTTCAACTTCCTGGCCAGCGCCGCTTTGGCCTGCCCTTCCACCCCCAGCGCCACGGCCACGATATTGCGCGCGACGCTCGGGGCATATCTCATGAGCAGCAAGGTTTTCAGGTTGACGAAGGTTTTTCCTCCCACGATGACCTGGACCGAGGCGTGGGCGTTCTTCTCCAGCAGGTAGCCGTACTGCCTGCACAGAGGCACCCTGCTCCGGAGGCACTCCTCCATCGTGTACACCTCCTTGGTCGTGGGGTCGTCCAGGACGATGACCACGTGGGCCTGGCGGAAGGCCTCCTCCGCTCTGGTGCAGACGGAGACGCTGCGCAGCACTGGGGACACCAGGTCCTGCGTGTCCATGGCGAGGTGGCGGAGGGTGTCTTCCGCCTGCTCGTTGTCAAACAGAGCTATGCTGATTTTCGTGTGCATGCCGAACACCTCCCCGCTGGTCAGGATGGGGATGAGGCTGTGGCAGGCAGGGGTAGATGCACTAACAAGTGCAAAGCAGGATTAGCAATGGTTAAAGCTTTTGTCCCTTTTAAGCTTGTGTGTGTGTGTGTGTGTGTGTGTGTGTGTGTGTGTGTGTCTGTGTGTGTGTAAAATATATAGAGAGAGGCCTGGGGGTGCACAAAATTCATGCACTTGTGATCCCTTAGCACGCCTGTGCCCTCTCACAGCCCACAAGCTCTTGGGGGATGTCTGACTGATGGCTTAGGCCTGCTCCCTATGAGTGGGCCTAAGCTGTCTGTAGGACATCCTCAGCACTGTGACAGCCCTGAGCCCAGCTTCTGGCCAAAAGGCGCTCCCCCTGTGGAGCACACTGACCACCAGGGGGGGGCAGCTTTTGTGTTGAGCATCTGCCCCCCTGGTGGTGAGTGAGCATCATAGTGATGGCCATTCGGTTGCTTTGCCTATTTAGCCTATTATTATATAGGATTTGTATTGATTTCAAAGAGGAAAGGAAAGGAGAGAGAAAGATAGAAGCACACACACACAAAACCTTAAACTTAACATTCAGATCTTCTATCATGGAGTAAATCCCACACCCTACTCCTTTCAAATATCAACAGCCAACCTTGAGAATCCTGGGCTTTGATTGTCCCACCTGGTGATCCAGACCTGCAAGGGGTCAACGAGGTCTTTCAGGGATTCTTTCTCCAGCTCTTTTTGTATATGAGCCTCCATGTTCTCCAGAGCAATCGCCTTCATCAGCTCACTCGTCATGCTAGACGTGACACCGTAGTAAAGCTAACCATGGCAAAAGAAAAAGTCAGCCCCCAAGAGAAGACAAATAGTGGATAATAGCTGTAATGGAAAGTTCTTGTGTGAAGCCAGAAGGGAGTAAAAAGAGAGCTGAGAGAAGACTTTAGAAAGCAAGGCGTTGGAAAAATGAAACAATGTGAGAGATTGATAATGTTTTGAACAGATAAATCAACTTAACTTACACACCTGGGCATGCTCTAAGAACTCATTATATCCTCCCAGAAGCAAGCCCTTTCCTCCGCGATCCAGCAGCTCCCTCCAGATGATGGGGGAACTCTTGTGGCTCCATTTATTCTTTTCACACACATCTTTCAGCCACTCCTATTGAATGATATTCCAAGGGCAGTCACACTTTAAATAGACCCCAGAATTCAAACTTTAAAATTCAAATACTAAAATACTGGATTTTTTTTGCCATTACTTAATATACATAAAATTTAGGTAGCTTAAACTGTCAAATGTAAATATAAAAAAATAGTGATGAGTTAAATAACAAATTAATCAAATAAGAAAGAATATTCTTCAAATCCACTGACAAAATAAAGGCACAGGAGATTGCTCTCTTTTGCTGAGGAGACCTGGAGTGTTTATGTTAAAGATAAGCCAAGTGTTCCAACTCAACTGATGTAAAAAACAAACAAACAAACAAAAAAACCCCTTAACTGATTTCCCCCTTATTCTTCTATCTGAGCTATTTCCAGTTGTAGGGAATTTCTAATATTATATAAATTTGATATTGCTTTCCACATTTCTGGATATAGTGTATATTGCTCAGATTAAATTAATGAGCTAAAAGTTACCCAGGGATTTCTGATAGTACTTATTAGAAAAATCTTAAATCATTATTGGTTAGTGTAGATCAAGTCTTCCAATGACAAGAGCTAAGTAGAGATAGACAAAACATTCTTATGGGTAAAATGCATAATTGCATTCTTGTTGTTGGAGGCATATGTAAAGATGCTACCCTGACACATAAAAACCTTAGAAACACATTTCCCTTCTGATGTTGAAATCTCTCTGTCTTTATCCCACCTTAAAGCAAACAGTGCTGCTGTGAAGATTCTACCATGGCCTTCTATTTTACAGCACAGTCTGCCCAATGAAGTACCGAATCTATGGGATAAAGGGCCTCTACTCAAAAGGACCTTCAGCATCAAGGGCATGCTAATATCCTGGCAAGACTTGAGAGAATATGTATGGGATTGGCCCCCGAGGATGCTGAATCAAGAGTGGGACATAACGTTGGACAAGGGAGAATTTATTAATATTAGTCACTCTTTCTGCAGTTCAAGAGTGTACACCCTGGCAAAGACCTTGGAAGAGAGTGATAGCATGTTGCTAGGATGATTTTCCTAAGATTGCGGAAGGTGATGACGCCCATGAAATGCCAGAACTGACTTGGGAAATGATGGAAGGGATTAAAAAGCTTAGGAAAATATTCATGAAAGAGTGGATAAAGAAATGGAGACTAGGGTGCAGGCCCCGTAAGGATACAGGTATTGGTCACCACACCTAACAAGTCACTTAGACTAGCAGAGAGTAAGGGGATTCTAGAAAGGACAGTAGGGAAGAAAGGTGACGAGTGTTCGTGGCAGCCCTGAAATGATGTATATTGGAGACTATAGTTCACGTGACTAACCTTCTTGTAAAGTTTTCCTAGGAAGAGAGGCCAACCAGAATCTTGGACAAGCTGTTTCCAGATGGTGTGAACCTATTACACAGAGCACGTGGACCCAAAAAGCACAATGGGTGCATTGTGGTGGGTCCTGTCATGGCAGTTCAGATTTCCCCTTCATGACCCAGGCACTCAATCCCTCAGCCACCGGGAGTATTGGCTGCTGATTGCTCAGTGGCCGGTCTCCTTCCAGGAACTGGCTTTAGCGGAAGGAAGTTCCCTTGACTTATGTTAAACACCTTCCCTGGGCAGCAGGCAGCCGTGACTGTTAGCTGGGGGAGTACAAAAGCCCAGCCTCCTCGCCTATTTGGGGGTATCTATGAAAGGCTAACCCAGCTTCTGAGTTCCCTGTATGACTGGCCGAGCCCTTTGTTGCATCTGGATGGCAGTTCAACTCCTTCCACTGCCCAATGCTGCTGCCCTCATTCCTTCCCAGGATGTTGTTCCCAAATCCTCATCTCAGTCTGTTTCTGAGAAAACCCAATCCCAAAGAAGGGTATTTCAATAAACAAGCACCTTGTGCCATTAGAAATCAATATGAAGGTGAATGAAGAGTTAAGAAGTGCAATAAAAGTTCCTTGGGTTCTTGGGTGTCAAGGATGGGTGGGGAGGGGTGTGGGGAGGCAAATTTATTCTCATTTGTTAGGGCCTTATGTATTATAATAGGTTTTAGGGGGAAAAATAATGATTTGAAACTGATAAGTGGAGACTTATTTTATTAGTAGTAAAATATCAGTCGTACACGAACATTCATTACTGGAAACCTATCTGATATACTATCTAATGTTAATCAAATTAGAAACATTTGTGTGCATGTGTAAGTTTAATAAATTGTAAAGGCTTCTTACCTCCCAATCATGAGGATGTTGGGTAATTTTATATATATGAAAATCAGGAAGATTCTTCTGTAAATAGTCTGCCAGGAGTTCTGCTTTAGCATAATATGGGTCATCTGCTCTACCTAAAAGAGTTCAAGTTAGCAATGCCTCCTTTTGTCATACAGAAAGTTTCATGCAGTTTTAAGTATATGCTATATAATTAATCATGTAGTTACATTTTGGTAACATAGTTATAGTATAAATTACCACCATATAAAGTTTTTGATTTTTTTCTGTATTGGTAAAAAGGTCAGAATCTTAAGTAATAAAATGTGGAAAGGAAAAAAGACTATTGAATATTTACTCTCTTCCAGTACTATGTTAGATCTCACTTCCTCTAAAAGGCTTACATGCTACTAATTAAACATGAACTATTAACAATGAACTATTCATTAGTAGCTATGAAAAGGCAACGTGAAGTGAAGAGTAGTGGTAGAATCACATGTGGATTTGATGTATGTGGCGGGAATACTGTGGTGGGAGTAGAAGCTGAGGGGTAGAGAAGAATCTGGAATAACCTCTACTTTCTGGCTTGAGTTGATGACCCTGAGCTTAGCAGAGAGAAATCACAGGTGATAAGTTCATAAGTGCAGTTGGAGGGATCTGTAGCACATCTAAGTGGATGTGAGCAGCAGGCAGTTGCATGTGTAAGTCTGAAGTGCAAGCCTATGTAAGGGCTTAAGATGTGGCCATCCACACACAGGAAGTTAAAGCCACCAATGTGCATGGAATTGGCTGTCTGACAGGCAGGGGCCACATGCAAAAGTCTCTCTATAGCACTCTTCACCTTTTACCACAATTACCAATTCTTTGACCTCATGGAGTCTTATAAGTCATCAACCTCCTCCCCATCTATCCAGCGTCTGGCAGTGTTTTGCACAGAATCCCTGCCCAATCAACATCCTTGAGTGCATGCACTGTGTCAGAAAGCCTGAGGTGGTCCACATAGAGAGAGGCTGGAGTTGCTAAAACAGAAGCCAGCTAAGAAGATCACTGTCCAGCGGCTCTAGGAGGCGAGCAGTTGTTGGTGTCTTGAGTGATCTGCGGGCTTACGCAGGGGTCACTCACCCGCCAGCACGAATTTGGCCATGGGGAAGCTTTGATCTCTGGGCAGACACCGGGACTCCGCAGTTTCCTAGCAACCACGTTGCCAAGGACGCGGCGCAGGCGCACTCTGGCGCGGAGCGCGGGATCTGGCGCCCCGCAGGGAAGATGAAGATGTTGGGGTGCGCGATCATGCATAGCCTCTAAAAGCTTTGCGATGCCTCCCATTCCTATCCTTGAAGCTAAGAACACTAGTCATTTCCTTTTCGATAGGCTTCCTTTCTGTCGGCGAACCCTTCTCAAATCGTTGCGAGCGGACACTTTTGGACCTCAGGAGGACCCGTCAAATCTCGCGAGACGTGAGCTCGCGGGCCGGCGTGCCGCCGGGCTGTTCCTGAAGGTAGCCACGGGTTCGGGTGTAAGGTGAGCGGAGGCCGCGCCCCGGCGGACCGGGTGGCGGGGCTACACCGTGCCCTGGCGGGGCGCAGGGGGTTCCCGGGCGCGGGGTCAGGAGGGGGTGGGCCCTGGGGCGGTGGGAGAGCCGCACGGGCGGCTCCCGTCTCTGGTTCTGACCCCTGGGAGGCTGGCTGGGGTCTCGCTCCCGCACTCAGGCCACACGTGAGCACCAATTCATGATCCGGAGCCGTTCTCCTTGGATCACAGCCTTGTCCTTGCTCGTCCGGGGTCGGCCGTTTCTAACTCCTCTAGTTGGAAAGTACGGATCGGCGTGAAACCTTAAGTTTCTTTGAAGACATCGCCTAGGCAATGGGAACAGATCCGTCCCTGCGGAGGGAGCGTGGTGGGGACACTTCCCATCGGAAATCCACTTAAAAAAAAAAATACCTCCGTTATACAAAGAGTGCTTCTGAAGCAGCCTGGCTCCTCTGAGACTCCACGCTGGGTGGAGATGGAGGAGGCACGTGTGGGTAAAAGAGTTTACCATGTCAGTGTAAATCTTTCGTGTCTCCATTGTAGTCTCCGTTACGTGCATTTCTTTGAAGTAAGAGCTGTGCTTTAATGTTTGTTCCTTTCATAACCCCTTCCCTCTAGGAAAGCAGCGGCATGTGCCCTCATTCACGGACAGAAGCGATGTTTGCGGCGCACTGACAACTTTGGAGCCCTTGGCAAGTGTCTCAACGGAGAGCAAGATGAATAACAGAGCAGGTTCCTTTTTGTGGAATCTCCGGCAATTCGGTTCTTTATCTCCAACAAGCAGAACTGGGAGGCTGAACCCTTTGGGGTTTTGCCTGCCAAAAATTGCTTATTCAAACTGGAACCAGAAAAACCATCTCTTAAACGTCTTTGATAATAAAACGCAATCATCTATTAGGCATCTCTTTCAGGATGCCTCGATTTTTAAAACAGGAGGTGATGTCTTCCAAACAAAGGGCATAAGCCCCGTGACAACACCCACAATCTCCAGATTATTCTGCCCTAGAAGGCTGTCCTTTGACTCGGAGCAGACTCCTGTCCCTGCTGATGGATTGAAGAAAATAAACCTTCACCCTGAGGCCTCTGATGAAGACATTCTCACCAAGAAGACAAAACCAACCCCTGTCAACTTTAAAAAACTGGTTCAGGGCAATTCCCTGAGCGACGTGTTGGATTCATTTTCAAACGCACCCACATTTCCATGTAGTAACTATTTCTCAGCAATGTGGACAATTGCCAAAAGGATGTCTGATGACCAGAAACGCTTTGAGAAACAACTGATGTTTAACCACCCTGCATTTACCCAGCTGTGTGAACACATGATGAGGGAAGCCAAGATCATGTTCTATGACCATCTGCTGTTCAGTCTTTATGCTATAGTGAAGCTGGGCATTCCTCAGAACACTCTGTTGGTTCAGACTCTGCTGAGGGTGGTTCAGGTAAAATCAAAAGGAGATTTAAACGTCCTTTTACTCGGTTTGTATATCTTGCATGAATGAAGGGAAATAGAGGTGTAGTCTTGGCGCATCTTGAACTAATGGAGGGAAATAGACTATCCAAGGAACGGTAGGTTCCTTTTTATTTATTTCTGTGTATATGGTTTAGAGTCCTTAAATTAGCTAAGGCTGTCTTCCCTTTTGTTATGAAATTTATGAGGACTTGCCCCTTTTTTCTTCTTCAGAGTTGATTAATGAGATAAAATGAGGAGAGATAAAAAATATGCAAGGAAGGTTGGGTAGTTAAAGGAAGGAAGAAGGGTATACCTACAACTCTTACTTATATAATTGTATTCAATCCTCTTAACAGCTTTGTAAAGTTAATGTTACCTTAGTTTTGCAGATGAGAAAACAGACTGAGTGATGTTAAGCAAGTTGGCTAAAGTCACACAGTTAGTGGATTCTTTTAAGCAGTAGATATTGGGTGTCAGCTATGCTTCAGTTACTGTACTTGTCTCTAGGGATATAAAGATATAGAAGACATGATTCCTACCCTTATACTCTGGAGGGAATATGGATATTTTGTGGGCAATCACAAAAACAACCCAACATTCGAGTCATATATTAATTGTGTTACAGGCGTTATACTGAGCACAAGGGGATTTAATTGTGAACAAAATTAATGGCTACAAAGAACTTTCAGTGCAATAAAACAAAAGTATAGAGTCTTATGGGCTTCCATTCTAGTCAGGAGAAGGCCTTCATGATGGGGATAGATGAGGGAGAAGGATACAGGATTAGTGTTTGTGGCAGAGAGATGTTTGACAACAGAATTGCTGCATGAAATCTTCAGTGTAGTCTTTTAAAATAGGTTACTCACATCTTACTAATGATTAGAAAATTTGGCTTAGAGAGGTTAAAACACTTCCCCAAAGTCACATATCTGATAATATCACTATTTGTAGGTACTTGATAAATTTGACCAGAATGAATAAACAAAACGTTCACCTAGTCCATTGTCGGAATAGAATTCAAGCTCAGAGATGATGTCTAAGCTGAATCCAAGAAATGCACAGCAGTTTGTAAGAGATTTATAGTGAATGAGTTGGTTTTTCAATCAGAGAAGATTGCATGTCATCCCAGAGCAAAAGTTTGGCAAGTTTAGGAGCTGAAAGTAGTTCAGTATGCCTGAAGCACAGGATTCTGGAGGGGGGTGTTTGAGGGAGTGGGGAGGAAATTGTGTATGTGGTGGACACGGAGAAATGGTAAGACGTGGCTGGCAAAAAGGGGGAATCAGAGCCTTTTATGCCTAACTAAGAAGTTTGGATTTAAACCATAGGCAGCGATGATCCATTGAAGAATTTTAAGCAAAGGGTTGGCATGCTCAAACTTGTATTTTAGATCACAGTGTGAGTGGAGAATGGGTTGGAAGAAGGGTGAAATTAGGTGGCGGAGCCACTTTTTGTTTCAATCAAGGGAGTCTCTCCTATCTGATGTCACTGAAATGCCAAATGTTATGAAGGAAGGATAGCTTATTAAAGTAATCATTTGTCTTTTGAGAGTGGGCATCTCAGACTGCTAAACTCAGCGATTACAATTAAATAATTTTTAAAAAGACAGGAATTTCCTGAGGATGATATGACACACTATAGAATTTAAAAATTGGGTTTATAGGTATATGAGAGTGTTTAATTTTAACTTTTTACATTACTGTGATTTCTATAGGTTCTCAACCAGATACTAATTTTTAGTGTGTGTGTGTGTGTGTGTGTGTGTGTGTGTGTATAAACCACAGACTATCCAGCTTACCTGGTAGGCTGTGTTCCCTATGTAGTTATTTTAAAGTTATTATTGTAAGTCACTTGACCTGGTCAGTGATGCTCTTACTAGATTTCAGACAGCATAGCATCTGCATCTGTGAGCAGTGGATATTTGTACGTACAGTTGTGCCTTGATGTGCTCTCGTAAGGTGTATAAATTAGCTATGATTTAATTGTAGGGCACTAGGTAAGCAGTGTTGCTATTCATTTTCCAAATTATGCCCACTGCCATTTCTGGGATCTAAAGTAGTACCAAACCCAAGGGATCTGAGAACCAGATCATAGTGATAAAAGGTAACAGGTGATGTGGATCTGAAGATTACCAGCTGCAGTTCGTTTGATACCCAGAAAAGGATACAGGGAAATTATAAGGACACAGGTTCTTTACAGATGGTCAAAACGCCCTCTGTGCCGTAGTAGCTCTCATATTATAGCACTTGTCTTCATGATGACCTTGAATCCCAGAAGGAGGTAAAAATAATATTTGATTAAAGGTGTTTCAGAAGCAGAATATTATAATAAATAATGAATTTTCAGTGATAATAGTACATGTGAAGAAGTTTTGATGAATAAAAGCGTGCGAATTGGGTATTTGGAAAACTCACTATGGTCGGCATTTTATTTCCTAAAGATGGTGTTTTTGAGGACTGGCTCCATGTGAATTATTGGTTTCATATTTAATCCTTAATTGAAAGCATTAGTTCAGTGGTTTTGCATGGGTGCAATAGTCTACTATGGGCTCGACAACTGTAATGTTTTTGTAATTATATTTCAATAGGAACGTATCAATGAGAGTGATGAGAAATGTCTTTCAGTTTTGTCAGTTATTTTAGAAGCAATGGAGCCATGCAAGAATGTGGATGTTCTTCGATCAGGATTGCGGTGAGAATTCTATGCTTTCTTCATGTGGCAATCTTTGTTTTTATTAATATCTCAAATCAAAAACCAAGATGAAAGCTCAACTGCTTTTTCTGTTTGTTTGGGGAAAACTTTGATGGTAGTTTTAATACCTTATTAAACTTAAAATTCTCACTATGGATCAGGTAAAGGTGGAAATAATGCTGAGGGTTCACAGTAAAAAAGATATGAGTTGCATTGAAATCTGAGTTTAACATTTAGTACTGATGTGGGCTGGGAGAGAACTGACAGGTATTTAGTTCACTGTGTGGAGGTTACATGACACTGGCCTGGCTTGAAAAGGAGCTTGAGTGTTATAATTTATTAAATTGATGCAACTTTTACAATGTTATAAGCCAGTGAGAATAATGCTTAAGCCCTTTTTCATTGCCTGTGCGTTGGGGTATTTTACAATGATCTGATGGATTTGTTCATTCATAAAGATAGCAGAATAATGTGAG